ATACCCCATCATTCTTTGTGTAAATGATGGGAGTCATGCATGCTAAACTGTTAAAAAATTAGCAGAATCTCTATGAATGCCGTAATAAGCATTCATACACTTGGTTAAATGATGTGCCATTATACTCATGCATACAATCATCAAACAAAATTATATTTAAACATGTAAAAGCAGTAACAGATCTGATTATTTCTACAGCAATATGTGTTAGATATCACTGTAATATTATGTCTGTATTATGTAACAAGCATTGTATTAATCACTGGAACATAATTGTTTATATTGTAAAATATGATCAGTTATTCTGACATTACCAATCACATTATCACATATCTGAAACCATATCTGAAAAACAGGAGTCTTTGTGTATTCCAATGAATTATTCCTGATTTACAATGACAGAGATCAAACACGCAGTATGGTTGTGTTGTCTTTTTTTGTAAACAGTGGAAATCAATGAGTTGTGAAAATAATCACAAAGGAAAAGAATGCAGCAGACTGGTTCACATTATAATACCAAGCTTTATGTTATTCTCCTGACATCTGAAAACAGAACAGGAACTTAACAGCTCATGAAGTCAAACTGATGAGACATTTTAATTAGTAACACAACTTTATGGTTCGTTTGAATCTTTTTAAATGGAACTTCCTCAAACTGGAAGGATCTCCTATAATCTATAATGCCTATAATATAAAATTGGAAGGAAAATTTTGGCATGAAAAAACTGTAAATAATTGTGGACTATAATGTAAACTTGGATTATAATCATGTATCATTTACTCAAATGATTTCAAAATAGCAGAGAGTATTATTCATGTTTTGTAAATCAATTTAATATAATAATTCATTGTGTATTAGTGTTTGTACATTCTCATAAATAAAGGTGTGCGAGCTGTCACTGGGGTGCTACCTTTTCAAAAGGTCAAATTTGTACCTTAAAGGACCATTTAATACCTCAAGGGTACATATTAGTACCTAAAAAGTACAAAACTGTTCCTCATAAAATTTTTAGGTACTAATATATATTTTTGAGTTACCAACATGGACCCTATAAGTACAAATGTCTACCTTTTGAAAAGGTATCACCCCAGTGACAGCTCACATACCTTTTTCTGAGAGTGTAGGACATTATTTGATGAGTTACAAGATGTGTTTGTAGGATAATTATTATTATTTTTTTAAAGAATGAGTTGATGTGAGAAATATATGATATGTTTTATCAGTTTTAGTGCATATTAATGTGAATTATGCCAAGCTAATAAAAATATAATAAATAAATAATATAAAACAAATTAATAAATTAATTAGATAATTATTAAATTAATTATTAATACTAAAAGTTATAATGTTGAATGTTGGAACACATTACTTTCATTAAACATAACTAAGCAACACATTTAGTTACTATTTTTTAAAAAGGTGACTTGTAATAAAAGATGAATTGTAATAGAAGTAAAAAAAGTAACTTAACCCGCTGTACAAAAACGCAGGGTTCCCCACAATTCATTCATGTTTTCCCAACACAAATTGCTTAAGTTAACTTAACACTTTTAAAAAAATTATGTGAATTCAACACAATCTCACGGCAACTTTTTCATTTAGTGGCTATAATTCATATGAATTCGTACGATCTAATTCGTACAGTTTAGTAAGATTTGCTTATCCCCCAATGACGGTTGGGGTTAGGGGTGGGGTCAGGTGCCACGCCTCCTTTTTAAAATCGTACCATTTCGTACGACTGAACTCGTATGAATTAGCCACTAAACTGGCAAAACGTAAAATACTTACGTTTTCTCGTGAGATCAGGCTGGAATTGAACATAAAAAAATTGTCCCAATGAAATGTCAAGAATTGTGTTGTTGCAGCTCATTTTAAATAAAAAGTTTGAACAAGCAAAAAAATAATTTAACAGATATTAATTAGCAGCCATATAAATTTGCACATATTCCCTCAAACTTACCACTCTTCTACAGTTTGCACAAGATACTATGGTAAATAGGCATAGAAAATATGCAGTTTCTTGCTTTTTACAAAGTAGACAATGTCGTATCAAACAGAAAATAGGCAAAAAGTGTTGCTATTTCTAAACCATTCAAGGACAGAAAAAACCTTTAAACATTAAGCAAATGTAGTTGGTACTGTGGAGAATCCAGCCCCATCATTTGGCTTAAAAAAAGAAAGGTTTTCTGAGTGAGGATTGAAGTATTGATGTGGTACACGAGAGGTGAATCCTCAGTGGACTCAGTGAAAAACGTCTGAAGGTCTCCAGCTGCAGACCTCAATTGCAGGGTGTGGCATATGATGTGATCACCAGCTGAAATGAGGGCAGAAATGGATGAATGGAGGCCTTGGTCTAGTTCTTATTGAGTCTAAAGCGTTCTACTTTATACTTTTGGCTTATAATTATAGTTACTTAAAGGCAGTTACACAAGGGCGGATTATGGACAAGGCCAATGGGACCAGAACTCCATCTGATGGGTCTGCGGTGCCCAGACAATTGTAATGTTATATGTAAAGTTGACAGAGACAAACACAACATACATTGATGCGATTGTTGAGACAATGTAAAGTTAATTTATTGAAATAAAAAAGTCTATTATTCATTCATCAGCTCTACGTACACTGTAAAAAAGCTGTTCCACATAGTTCCTTCATGTTGTCCCAACACAAACCAATTAAGTTAACTTAATTGTTTTTTAATTGTCTTAATTGTTGAATCCCAATTTTAGTGGATTAAACATAAAAGTATTAAGTTGTCCCCCAAAAAACTAAGAACTGTGTTGTTTCAACTAATTTTAGATAAGTAGTTTGAAAAAGCAGTCAAGTCATTGTTGAGGGTAACAGATTTTCTGAACAGAGTTTTGATTAGCTTTGATGTTGTACAGTATAAGCTAAAGAAATAATTCACTACCCAAAAATGTAGTCACCCTCAAGATATCCAAATATTGGTTGACATTTATTGTCTTTATTAAAATATTGAAGATAATATTTTAGCTCAAATGGATATCATTTATCCACCATGTGGCTCCTACATCAAGCTCTTATGATGTAAGAGAAAGAAATTATTTACATTATTACAACTTATCTACAGTCTCCTGACTTTTGCAGTCCAATCGATTTATTTCATAAGCAGGGTGCCAATTGCAGGGAGGTTTAAGGGGGTCTGACCCCTTTATTTAATGCTTGATCCCCCTGAAGGACACCAAAACACAATGTATGGGGGGCTCTGCCCTTTAACAGTTAAGAAATAGTGTGTTCTGATCTGTATCTTGAGAAATATTATTATTTAAAATAATAGATAGCTTTAATATACATTTGACCACCCCTATAGTGGTTCATATTGTGAATGGATGTTTGCGACAAATATATGAATTCATCGGTTTGAAAGTGTAAATATTCACAAAACATGTTCCTTAAAAAAGGCGTGTAGGATATCTGTAAAACTAGATGCATAGTTTGTATTTTACTATACACTGCCTATTACATGGAAACACTACAATGAAAAATTATGTGCAGTCTTTCATGGTTATCCATTAATAGGTGCAAGAAAGCAAATCACCATTTATTTAATATTACAAATGTCATTGAGAACCTCTCAATATCCCTCAAAACTCTAAAAACACAATAACAAGTTTGATTAATAAAGTAAATTCAATTAAATTAAATATAGAAATTTGGTTCACTGAGGCATATTACCAAACATAACCGAAAAACTATCACCCCATTTGTTAAATGTTAAATTTGCACCCTGTTCATGAAACATTAGAAGCCACAGGTATTTTGGCTGTAATCAGATCCTTTATGAAATCAACATTACGGTTTCAACTAAAAATATTCATTAATCTTGAAGCAAACTATTTTACTTATATTAGATTGCTTGATGGTTGGTAAACTAAATGTAAATTTTCATTTTTGGGTGAACTATCCCTTTAACAAGTTGTTGTCTCTTTTGAAATATAGCCTAACATGATGCTCATGAACATTCGTCAAATGTTGTGATCTTTTTAATACCTTGTTTATTTTTAACTTGAATATTGTATATAGCAACTAAAAATCTTATTAGCAAGGTTTAAACAGAATCCATAAAATAGTGTTGTCATTACTATATAATCATAGCAGCTATTTATTTTGATTTTGTATTTAAAATAAGTTCCTATAAACTGTGAGGCAACATGGACATCCAAAAACTCTCTACCACATAGTCTCTTTGAAGAAAGCAAATGTACAATAATATAATATGCTTGTGATTCAGCAATCATTCAAAGCACTTGATTGCTTCGTTCTAGTGCTGTTTGGGGCGATATTTGCTTGTGGTCCATACAGAAAACACTAACAGCATGTTTAATTTGGCATCTCTTTCAAACAGCTGTTGTGATTTTGCTTTCATTAACTTTTATAATTTAAGTGTGGTATGATGTGTTGAGCCTGACTGTAGCATTAGCAGCTGTAGCGTATCCTGTAGGGTAGGCCAATTGTGGTTAGCATGGTAAGCCATGAGGACAGCTGAACTGAGAATACCTTAAAACAATAAGCATATCGCAAGAATGTATTCCACCATCCTAGATTCATAAGTTTGAAGACCAAACTGGGCATTGTAACATAAAAAATTGTCAAAACGAAACGAGCCCTGTAATCCCTGAGGTTAGACTGACCTCTGCTGGCAAGCTGAATGCATACACAAAATGTGTGCGGTGCTTTTCTGATTTTACTTGAATTTTAATCCATTGATTTATTGTATCTTGGCCCAGTTCCAATTTATTTTTACTTTAATTTAATTTAACTTAATTTTGAACAAAAATATGCAATTGAAACAAACACAATATAACTAGGTTACTACTAGGAAATAATATTAATTTAAACAAGTTAACAAATAGAACAAACTGTCTTTTAATTTTTAGTTTAAATCATTTTTAGCATATTTATCTAATAATATGACAATTATAATGTAATATTTGTGTATGATAGGCTACGTTTTATTGACTAGTGTTTTTTTTAACAGAAGACGCAAAAGGCTGTAAAGATGGAGATCTGACGTATTCAGAAAATGAGATCTGGAAGCCAGAGCCCTGCCGACTGTGTGTATGCGACAAAGGAACCGTGATCTGTGAGGAGATCCGATGTGAAGAGCTGAAGGGATGCGAGCAATTCTTGATCCCGGAGGGGGAGTGCTGTCCTGTGTGCCAAACCTTCGCCAGTGCGCATGGCAGGATCGGTGAGTCATACACACAACGACCGACAGAGGGCGGACGCCAATCACATTCGAAACAGAATTACATTGGTTTGGTTGACGAGGAAAGACGATTATTTATTCCATACCATTTACAATAATAAGGCCTCGTTAGTTAACTTAACGTCACGTTAAATACATGCAACTAACAAAGGACAATTTATTTGTTAATTGTTGATAATTTTGATAACATTAGGAGAACTTAGCTCTATCATGTGGAATAGGCTAACTGTAGGTTCCTTGAATAATGTTAAAAAATAAACCTCAATTTAGTAATGTATTATAGTGGATGTTGTAAATACGTTTTTAGATGTAAATGTTTATGTGGGTGACACGGTGGCTTAGTAGTTAGCACGGTAGCCTCACAGCAGGAAGGTTGCTGGGTCAGTTAGCATTTCTGTGTCCTGCATATTTTAGCTCCAACCCTAATCAAACACACATGAACTAGCTAATCAAGGTCTTAGGTATACTTGAAACACCCAGGCAAGTGTGTTAGGATAAGTTAAAGCTAAACCCTGCAGGGACACCGGCCCTCTAGGACCGAGATTGGTGACCCCTGCTATAGGTGATTTAATTTAACTAAATTGGCTGTAGTGTGTGTGTGTGTGTGTGTGTGTGTGTGTGTGTGAATGAGTTTGTATGGATGTTTCCCAGTACTGGGTTGCAGCTGGAAAGCCATCTGCTGAGTAAAACATATGCTGGATAAGTTGGCGGTTCATTTCGCTGTGGTGACCCCTGATAAATAAATGGACTAAGCCAAAGGACAATTAATAAATTAATAATATTGAATGTATTTAGATCTAACAGTAGATGTATTCTTCATGGTTGGCTGATGATAACTAATGTCCCTGCTGAAAAATCCAGCTAAAACCAGCCAACCAGCCTAGGCCGGTTGAGGCTGGATCTTTCAGCAGGGGTAGTTAACTAATGTTAGCAAATGCAATTTTAAATAGTGTTGTTATTTTTTGTTATTATTAATATTTATTAAAGTTTTGCCTTTGAATTAATTTGTGTTATTTGCTTACTTGTTTTTCAGAAACATTGGCTTTTAAGGTATGTAAATGATCTTAAAACATACAACATTTGTTATTTATATCATGTGTTTATCACATATCAAATGTAAAGATTGATTTGTCGTGCATGTTGTTTTTTCCAGGGACAAAAAGGTGAACCCGGTGACATTCCTTATGTGAGTTTGTCATATTTCCAGTATTTATGGAGCAATAAATGAATATGCCAGTTATTGTATATACAGTTTCATACAATTTTATTATTTAGATTTGCTTGTTTTTATTTTTTCTTATTTAGATTGTGGGAATACCTGGACGCCCAGGACCAATGGTGAAAGAATGCGCACCCACACACACACACACACACACACACACACACACACACACACACACATACACACACACACCATCTTTTATTTGTATTTTTTCAGAATCTCATTCTTTGTAACGTCAATCAAAGTGATGTCCATTATATTCTGTCACATCACACAGGGTCCCCCAGGAACAGACGGCCGGCCAGGATATCCAGGAAGCAAAGGAAGACGAGTATGTGACAAACACCAGGATTAAATTGCTGTATAACTTAGATCCTTTTATGTAGCTATATTTCATTATAACAATAAATCTTAATAATAACAAGCTAAGTAATTTACATGCAATATTTGTTTTTGTCAAGGGTGTTCCAGGTCCTCCAGGTTTTGATGGCGAGCCAGGTGTGCCAGGCATGCCAGGTGAGCCTGGTCCTATAGGAACGTCACTGCCTGGGGTGAGTAATATTATCTGTCCAGGTATCATCAGTGATTAGAGTAATAAAATGTGCTTTTCTAATCTGACTTAATGTAAATGTAATGAATATTATTGCTAATCAGGATAAACTGCAGTAATGTTTGAATGTTAGTTTCAAAAAACAATAAAAATGTAAATGTGTCTGTAGCTTCAAACATTTTGAATGACAATGAAAATACAACAAAATCCACAAATCCATGATCCTGCTGTGTTTTTAATAAAGCTTTTTGTTTCACAGAAATATTATTGAAGCCATCTGATTCAAACATTATTGTTTAAAGGGGTTCTATTATGCCCCTTTTTACATGGTGTAAAATAAATCTCTGATGTCCATGGAATGTGTATGTGAAGTTTCAGCTTAAAATACCCCACAAATAATGATTTATAACTCTTTGAAACTGCCCCTTTTAGGCTTTGATTCTAATTGTGTCATTTTGGTGACTGTCGCTTTAAATTTATTTTAAATTGTACTGTTTTAAAAATAGGGCGGAGCTAAAATGCCTATTTATCAGCATATGGGCAGATTCAAAATTTAAGACGTCCTATGCCAATGAGAAAGAGATTGTCACCAATGTGCAGCACTTTAACACTCTAATGACATGTACAAATGGAGAATGTCAATCAAAGTGCTGCAGACTGTGTGTGATTATAAAAGATCGATTAATATATTTTAACCATAAGAAGTGGATTACATTCACAGACTGTTCTCACACAGCTGTTTAAACTCTCGTTAAAGTGATTTCTGCATAACAGGTTCACTTTAAAGTAATATTACAGAGTAATCAAATAATATGCAGATTCTTCTCAATTGATTTCTTTTCACATCATTATAACTTATTCAGAGGCGATGCGGTGGCGCAATAGGTAGGGCTGTTACCTCACAGGAAGAAGGTCGCTAGTCTGAGCCTTGGCTAGGTCAGTTGGCGTGTCTGTGTGGAGTTTGCAAGTTCTCCCCGCGTTCGCGTGGGTTTCCAGCAGGTGCTCCGGTTTCCCCCACAGTCCAAAAACATGCAGTACAGGTGAATTGGGTAGGCTAAATTGACTGTAGTGTAAGAGTGTGTATGGATGTTTCCCAGAGATGGGTTGCAGCTGGAAGGGCATCCGCTGCATAAAACATATGCTGGATAAGTTGGCAGTTCATTCCACTGTGGCGACCCCAGATTAATAAAGGGACAAAGCTGAAAATGAATAACATATTTAGAGCTGCATGGATCTGATATTGTGATATACATTACTGAGTGTAGTGACTATACAACGAGTGCAAATGTAATCAGAGAAAAGATGTTATTGCAGTTGCAGGGGAAGTTTATATTATTGATTTAAAATTGTACAAGAGCACAGGCATCTCAACATTTCAATCTTGTGGTGATTTTTAAACACAACCCTGTTTGTTTCAACACAAATTTATGTAAAAAAGAATGCACAAACTCAACTATTCTGTTAAGAATATTATTTAAAAACAACCCAATGTTTAGGTTTGTTTATATTTTACACATAGTTTCACTGAAACAATCAATTATTTTAAAGAGTGTGGTTAAGGTTTTGTTATGTGAGTGGTTTAAAATGTGAGAAAAGTCAAATGGATCTTATTGAGCTTGTTATTTAATATAAGTTTCAGGTTTCCCCAGATTGAGTCTGCAAAGTAACCGCTCAGATACTCATAGAGAACATCACAGACTGTTTTGGATAGAGAACCTCACAGACTGTTTATTATAATATTTAAGATGTCATTTTTAGTAGAAGAAACTAAACAAACAAACAAACAAACAAACAAACAAACAAACAAAAAAATGCTATATTTGTGTCTAAATCAATTTCAGATGGCAAATTCTGAAACTAATTTCTGTAACGGCCATAAACTAACCATTGCATAAAACACAAATGATATGAAAAGCTGAAAGAACTGTCCACAAAAGGTCTAGACCAGCAGAGACACCAGCACAAAAACACACTTAATCTTAATTACATAATCTATGAGGGTGACATGATTTGTTTGCTTGGGTTTCCTTTGGGTGCTCTGATTTCCCATACAGTCCAAACACATGCGCCATAGGTGAATTGAATAAACTAAATTGGCTGTAGTGTATGTGTGTGAATGAGTGTGTATGGATGTTTTTCAGTACTGGGTTGCAGCTGAAAAGGCATCCGCTGTGTAAAACATATGCTGGATAAGTTGGTGGTTCGTTCCCCTGTGGCGGCCCCTGATGAAAAAAGGGACTAAGCCGAAGGAAAATTAATGAATGAATGAACATAATCTTTGAAACCACGTTTTTGATTTTAAATCAATGCAGACAACTAATATGTAGTATTTTGTTCAAATCTTTATTTATTTTTTTAAAATTGGACTTAAAAATATGCATTACTTAGAGGCCTAATATTCAAATATTCAGGATACTAGCACTTAGGAATAGGCCAGGAAGTTGAAAGTATATAGTAACCATAATATGAGCTCTTTTAACCTATGTGTGCAAAGATACTTTTTTCAAGTCAAATTAAGCTCCACCTTTTATTGTTACAGAGTCAGTTTGCATCTCATATGGCCTCCGGATTCCAGGGTGGAAAGCTTGGATTGGCAGGCATGGTCACTGGAGCACCGGTAATGATCTTTACAGATTCAGTAATGGCTATTCTGTAAATATTTAGCTTTACCGTCAAACACTACCACAAAACAGAGACCAAATGCCTTGTATTCAGGGAGAATCAGGATCAAGAGGTCTTCCAGGCCCAGCAGGTCCACCAGTAAGTACTCTCAAACTTGATGCTATGCACGTCTCATGAAATATGTTTCCCCCTGTTGAAAGTTGTCTTCCTCTGTGCCACTTAGGGGCCAACAGGAGCACAAGGTGCACCAGGAGATGCGGGTGATCCTGGACCCATGGTAAGATCAGTAAAATCCACTTGTTAGTTTTTAATATTGGTCGGCACGGTAGCACAGAGCACTGTGGCCTTACAGCAAGAAAATCACTGGTCAAGTCTGGGCCAGTTGGCATTTCTGTGTGAAGTTTGCATGCTCTTCCCGTGGTGTGGGTTTCCTCTGGATGCTCCGGTTTCCACCAAAGTCCATAATAAATATGTGATTTTGGTGAATTGGATGAACTAAATTGGCCAAAGTCTATGGGTGTGTGTGAATGCAAGAGTGCGGGAGGTTGCCGGTTCGATCCCAGCTTGAAGTGGGTTGGGGGATTTAGAACCAGCAGGGTTACATATTGGTGTTTCCCAGAACTGGGTTGTGGCTGGAAGGGCATCAGCTGCATACAACATGTGCTGGAATAGTTGGCGGCTTATTACGCTGAGGTGAACCCTGATAAAAAAGAGACTAAACCAAAGGAAAAGTAATGAATGAGCTTCTAATAATATTCGTTAGAGAAACTATTTATAGTCATACTGTTCAAGAAACAGCAGTGCAGTTAAAGCCTTTTTTTCTTCAGGGTTCTTTTGGTCCAAGAGGTCCAGATGGTTCTCCAGGAAAAGCTGGTTCAGATGTGAGTAGACCAACAATTTGCCAGGAGATTTCATTATTTCACCGAACAAGTGGTAAAACATAGAAGGAGTGTAGCTACATATAAAATTGTGTAATTAAAACCAATTAGTAATTTGAGATACGACCCCCAAGTCTTAATATGTCATGAAATGTTTTTGTCAACAAATATGTCTCATCAGTTTTTTGGTATAATTTAGTGTTTGTAAATCATGGTAAAAATGTTTGCATCTTGTGTTTGCTAAAATAAATGTTATACCAAAATTTGATGTAAATCTGTTTTACATATTTATTTTTAAGCTTTTTTTAAAATCATTTTTCAATGTTTGAACACACCCTACAAGAGTATGTTTCCCCCCCCCCTGCTTTTGATAACACTTGTGTTCCTCTCTGTATCAGGGTGAGCCTGGACCCCCTGGAAATGCAGGAGAAAAAGGATACCCTGGCTCTCCAGTAAGACAATGCTGTTCTCAGTTTTGTTAATGAACAAAAAATGTCAATTAGACATGCACATATGTACAGGGTGGGTGAAAATGAACTGTAGGTAAAAATGGTCACTGCTACGGTTTTTAGATTGCTTTTCAATGTACCCTTGACACATTCAAATAAAAAATAAAAATTATATAAAAAAAGGTAAATGTAGTAAAACCATGGTAATAAAAATCACATTCATATTAAATTGTTGAGCAGCTAAAATACGTTTTTAGCTGAGGAATATTAAGTTATGACTGTTTGACACTAACTCTTGTCAAAACAGACCTGCTATCGATTTTTTTTTGGATCAACTATGTGTATTAATGCATATTTTTTTATTGATGATTTGTTTCATAGGGCTCCAGAGGATTTCCAGGTCTACCTGGTCAGCCTGGGTTAAAAGGTTCAAAGGTGGGTTAGATTAGGATATCCTTTCTTGTACATTGTTTGCTCTTTACTCTCATTATTACATTTTTAAAATATTTATTAGTACAAATTGTACAAATATTCATGTATTTTTTTTTTTGGCTGTACTTCAATGGCCGTGCACAATATAAAACCAGTTCGCTAGTTAAGTCGTGACGTATCAGTGACGTATAGAATACTGTTTCCGGGTCCAAGCCACTTCTCATTTGAATTGAGAATATATTCGTTAATGGCCACTTTCAGTCCAATCACACATTAAAGTGAAATTTATAAAATCATAGTGTACACAACAATCTCTGGACTCTGAATCACAAATACCAACATTTTAACAATTTATAGAAAATTAATTACTTTCTGGGATTCACTTATATCTGATATTAGGCATGAATATATATCGTGATTGTGATTTTCGTAAGTAATACATCGCTTTGTAAACGTTTAATATTGCCATTTGATGAGTCTCCCCATACAGTTTGATATAGCGATTGGACCCGGTAACCATTTTTTCGTGACATCACACTTTACAAACGGATCATTCTCTTTTGCATTTTAGGGTCAACTGGGTCTGCAGGGTATGAAAGGAGAGCCAGGTGCTGTGGGGTCAAAGGTCAGAGGTCACATATTTGGAGCCAACAAATTCATTTGAACATTTTTACATTTGCATTGTTGGATAGTCTCAGGAAATGACTATTTTTTTTCATTATGAAAGGGAGAATCAGGATCTCCTGGTACCATGGGACTTGTTGGACCACCGGTATGTAGACACTCTGATTGTGATGTTTAATTGTAATGGCAATTTACTGCATTTTTGATGTGAATTCTGTACTTTGAAGGGGCCGATTGGTATGACTGGCGAGAGAGGACGCATTGGTCCCACAGGGACTGTGGTATGGGTTTATTTTTTCTTAAAATTGTTTTATTTAATTAGCTTTTAATAAGGAAATCTAAAAATGTTTTTTTTTTTTAAGGGAAAACGTGGTCTTTCTGGAAATGTGGGAAAACCTGGTCCATTGGTATGTGTTAGGAATACTTAAATGTTATTTATATGGACAATATGCTATAGTCCGGTATCTACGTCAACTTAAATGACCAGATTTATAGTAAGCATATAAAATGGAAGTAATATGTTTATTTCATAATGTACTCACTATTTTTATTTAATAAAATTGTATCTACTCTTCCAACATATTATAATTAATTAGCTCTGTTCTTTGTTTTATCTACTTTTATCACTGTAACTCTGTGTATTGCATTGGTATTTTTGCTGATTTGATTACTTCTGTCTGCCAAATTAATAAATGTAATGCCACATGAATTAACCTTTATCTAACTTTACACATATTACTTACAGGGCCCAATGGGAATTTCAGGAGGACCAGGATTTCCTGGTAGTCCAGGGATGAAGGTACATTGGATTCATGGTTTATATTTAGACCAGTTTAAATGCTTCACCTTCAAAATGTGCATTATTATAATCAACTTATGTCAGGAATGTCAGGAATTAAGCAATCTCTTTTTTAAATAATGTACAGGGTCAGGCAGGAGCCACAGGTCCACGAGGTCCTAGTGGATTGCAAGGCCCAAGGGGAGAATCAGGCCGTCAAGGATCACCAGGAAAACAGGGCACTCAGGTACAATCTAGTTTTGTTCCTGCACTTTACTTTCTAATAAATTGTATATTAATCAATGTTGGTATAATTTCTAGGGATCAGCAGGACCAGATGGTACTCCTGGAGTTAAAGGACCAGCAGTAAGTTTCTTAAACACATTAAAATGTGTGCTTATTATTATACGTAAGGGATAATGTATGTATAGGTAGTTATTCTCACTAATTGCAACAAAAACAATCAGATGTAAAACATTGACAGAAACAAAAATGGCTGAATGCACCCTACACTGTAAACCTCAATGTTGTCTTTGCATTAACAATTACTGTAAGTACAGTTGACTGAACATTACTTAACATTTAGCATTTTGGTCCTGTAACCGAAAAATATGAGTTATTTTAACTTATATACAATGAAAATGCATAAACTTAAGATTTCAAGTAAAGTAAGCTCAAAATCAATATTAATCCTTTGAAAAAAATAGGTATCTTTTAATGTAGTCTTGACTGTAAAATTTTAATATGTGCAACCTTTTAGTGCAAGGTCTGTTTTTAATCAGGAAACAAGGCTTCATGTATAATTAATCACCATAATGGCAATAAATGGCTACTTATTTCTCTTTTAAACATTTTTTTAATAGTATATAATTACACACACTGAATTGAAAAATGTAAGTGTAATCTACCAAACTGGCAAGTTAAATAAATTTAAATATGCAAGTTTTGGTTACTCAATTAAATTTAGGCAACGAATTTACTCAATTTATTTCGTTCAGTCAACTTATTAGGGTTTTCAGTGTAGACTAACTTATACTGTTCAGCCAATCAGTCAAGAATTGTGGTGTGAAATATAAGTATATGAATATGGATAGGAATTTATTCATTTATCATCAAGTTGATTCGGAGAACCTGGATGAGCCTGTGTTTTAGTTCTGGCGGTTGTTATTTGGAAATAACTTACCTTGGAATGTCGTGATTGACCAAAAAGAATAAAGTATTCCAGAGAGCTGTGTAATAACACAGGATAAGGTTGCTTACGCATGTGTTGCTTAATCTTATCATTAAGGATTTGAAGAAAGAGTATTTAAGAAATATTTCAGCACTTTTAGTTGCTTTGAAATAAAAATGAACATTTATTTGTGGTGTTAGTTTCAATTTATGTTAGTCTTAAGGTTATCTAGTGAACTCCCAAAAAGCCACGATATATTCAGAATATTTACATATTAGTACTTTTTCTCAGACATTTCTCATTTCTGCCAACATGGATAAATAATTTTTTATGACATCAGCTCATAATTCAGATTTTCATCAAATCTTCTGACCAATCAAATGCTCTTTAGTATCTGAAGTGTTCCTTCAAGAGACACTGCAAGCATAAATTGAACACTTATTCAGCATCAATAAAGCGTTTATACTGAGGGTTCACGAAAACACTTGCAGTGTTAAAATTAGAAAATAACGAACAGCGTTGATCTGAACTCCTCAACATTTATTAGTTGCAACAATGAGGGGAGCAACCCCAATAGCAAGATTGATAGATTTGCTGGTTTGCTGTCATGAGCTAGATGCGCTATAGCTCAATGACTCTGAACTACTGAGCTGTGATATAAAAAATCCTTGTCCTTTGGTATGTGCTAGGAATATTTAAATATTATTCATTTGGATAAGATGCCATATTCTGGTATCTGCGTCAAATTAAATGACCAAAAAGTGATTTGATATACATAGATATCATATTAAATGCTATATTTAATATCTGATATTAAATATCATTTTATTCAATAAAAATATACAAACATATTATGATTAATCACTCTTTTCTATATTTTATCTACTTTTATCACTGTAACTCTGCGTATCGCATTAGTATTTTTGTTGATGATACTTTTGTTGAAATACTATTGGCTATTGTTAAAATGGGTGAGGGGTTGCTCAGTATTTTTGCCCCGTCTTCTTGTTTCAAGTGAAAATACGCCACACATAGAATAAAGCTGCCCTGTATCAAGACATTTCAGTTGATGTTTGAAACATGTTGTACCTTTTATGCTTCAAATATTTGTTTATTATCTGTTTATCATAGGGGATTCCAGGTGTGCAGGGCCCTGTTGGTCTGATTGGACAGCCTGGTCTACCAGGACCTCAAGGGTCGCCTGGACTTACAGGAGCCAAGGGTCAATTGGTAACAATCCATAATGTGACATAATTATCATAGCAGGAATCACTTTTATCCTATTTAAGGTGGAGCATGATATACTGTATGTTGATCATATTGAGCATAATGAGCTGATTTATACATTTCATATGCCTTATAGGGTGACTTAGGTTCCCCTGGGTTTAAAGGAGAACCAGGAGCTAAAGGAGAGGTGGTAAGTATTTGTAACTACAAATATAAACCAATACATTTTTTATAATACTTTTATGATGTTGCTTCATAAATACAAATTGCAAAAAAAATAAATAAATAAAATAAAAACTGCCTTAATCCTAGATTATAGATTCAACAAGGTTCTGGATATATTCCTCAGAGATTTTGGTCCATATTGACATGATAGCATCACGCAGTTTGCTGCAGATTTGTCGGCTGCACACATATAATGTTTAACTTCCGTTTCACCACATCCCAAAAGTGCTCTATTGGATTGAGATCTGGTGATTGTGGAGGCCACTTGAGTGCAGTGAACTCATTATCATGTTTAAGAAACCAGTCTGAGATGATTCACGGTTTATGACATGGTGTGTTATCCTGCTGGAAGCAACCATCAGAAGATGGGTACACTGTGGTCATAAAGGGATAGACATGGTCAGCAACAATACTCAGGTAGGCTGTGGCATTGACACAATGCTCAATTGGTACTAATGGGCCCAAAGTGTGCCAAGAAAATATCCCCCACATCATTACACCACCACCAGCCTGAACCGCTGATACAAGGCAGGATGGATCTATGCTTTCATGTTGTTGACCCCAAATCCTGACCCTACCATCAGAATGTTGCAGCAGAAATCAAGACTCATCAGACCAGGCCACGTTCTTCCAGCCTTTTATTGGCAAATTTTGGTGAGCCTGTGCGATTTGTAGCCTCAGTTTCCTGTTTTTAGCTGACAGGAGTGGCACCCGGTCTTCTGCTGCTGTAGCACATTTGCCTCAGGGCTTGATGTGTTGTGCGTTCAGAGATGCTCTTCTGCATACCTTGGTTGCAACGAGGGGTTCTCTGAGTTACTGTTGTCTTTCTATTATCTCAAACCAGTCTGGCCATTCTCCTCTGACCTCTGGCATCAACAAGACATTTGCGCCCACAGAACTGCCACTCACTGGATATTTTCTCTTTTTCAGAACATTCTCTGTAAACCCTGGGGATGGTTGTGCATTACAGTCCCAGTAGATCAGCAGTTTTTGAAATACTCAGACCAGCCCGTCTGGCACGAACAACCATGCCACGTTCAAAGTCACTTAAAACCCCTTTCTTCCCCATTCTGATGCTCGGTTTGAACTCCAGCAGATCGTCTTGAACATGTCTACATGCCTAAATGCATTGAAATTTACGTTAATGAGCAGTTGGACAAGTGTACCAAAAAGTGTCAATAAATACTATATAAATACAAATCTAGTGACGTATGTTATGGACAATTTTTTTTATAAATAAATTGTCTAGATCAATTAATTATTTTGACTGAATATTCGGTTATGCGAATGAACTTACTTATGCTTATGTGTTGTTCTCAGTTACCATTATTCAAGAGTCTGTTTTGCATGTGTAATATCTAGTGACGTTACTGTGATGGGTAGGGTTAGGTGAACACATTAAAAAGTATTGGATGCAGCTCAGATCTGCACCAGGTCTGCATCCAGACCCCTTTCAAATTTCTTGACTATTATGCTAGAATGAGAGTGAAGTTTCTAGCCATATTGGCCTAGAAAATAGCAACTTTGCATTTTACGTCGGTTTAAATACATGATGTAACTACAGAAGTGTCAAGCTTTAAATATGAAATAATAGAAATGATTTTAAAGTGAGATGCTAATGGTCTAATCCAATTCAATGATTTATGCTAAGCTAAGCTAAAAGTGAATGAATTCAAAAATAGTTAAAATCAACTGCCTATTTCCGAAAAAGAAGAGTGTTCCTGTAACCCTCTCAAGGCAGGCGTTGCAGATTTGCAACAGTTAAAAATTAACTACCTTATTACTCCAGATACATATTTTATGAGTTTTTTTTACAGTTTCCCCACTTGCTCACCAGATGACACACACAAAAAAAGTTTCTTGGAGTACCACATGACAAAGTGACTTGGAAACATGACCTACTCAATGAGGATTTGAGATATTGGATTTGGATCCCATATTGTTTTTGTTGTTGTTCTGCCACTGAAAAGCAATTCGTTACATTGTTTGAAAAGTTGAATATAAAAAAATTATTGTTCATATCATATTCAATCGTCAGTGTCTAATTACCACACTGAGCCAATGTTGCAAATCTGGAACATCCCAGAATGCCTTGCATGTGAAGGTCTCTCTAAAAGAAAAGTCAGGATTCTATTGTACTACGCCATATGATAATTTTCCCCAAATAGCAGATTTTACTTTTACTTTTTTTTCTAAAAAATAATTTGAGCCTGAGGGGGTTAGAGGGTTAACTGCTTCATATAAGCTGGTTTGGAATATAAGTAGCTGTATGTTTCAGATTAAAAAAATACTTATTTTACAGAACAAAGTAAATAATGCAAGCAGAACAAATCATACAAAAAGATTAATTGCTTTTATCGCAGAATGTCATCAGAACATTTTCTGAGATGCTAATATATATATATATATATATATATTTTTTTTTTGCAGGGCCCACCTGGAGTTCAAGGCGAAATGGGGCCAACAGGAGAAGAAGGAAAACGTGGTCCAAGAGGAGATGGAGGGGCTGTTGGAGCCCCGGGTCCAAATGGAGAAAGAGTAAGTGCTATTCTGTTATTATCAACTGGGGCGACATGGTGGTGCAGTGGGTAGCACAATCACCTCACAGCAAGAAGGTCACTGGGTTGAGCCCCGACTGGGTCAGTTGGCATTTCTGTGTGGAGTTTGCATGTACTCCCGTGTTTGGGTGGTTTTCCTCCGGGTGCTCTGGTTTCCCCCCACAGTCCTAGGTGAATTGAATAAGCTAAATTGTGTGTTTCCCAGTGTTGGGTTGTGGCTGGAAGGGCATCCGCTGCATAAAACATATGCTGGATAAGTTGGTTTATGCCACTGTGGTGACCCCTGATTAATAAAGGGATTAAGCCGTAAAGAAAATGAATGAATGAATGTTATTATATAATACTAACATGCACGTTTGTATTTGTCCTTTACAATATTATTTAATGTTTTTTTTTCTTTTTTTTTTTTCTAGGGAGCTCCAGGTAACCGTGGCTTTCCAGGAGCTGATGGTTTGCCAGGTCCCAAGGTTAGAAACATACTAGATAAATAGCGATCAGTTGATAAGGTTTTGAATGTTAATGTGAGTAACAATGTCACCAGGACAAAATATTAAGAAATAATTCAAATGTTTTCTTGGTGTAATTCCATACTTTATATCTTCTCTATAATGTATTCAGGGTGCACAGGGTGAACGTGGTCTGCCAGGCTCATCAGGGCCTAAAGGTACAAGTGGAGACCCTGGCCGACCTGGAGAAACTGGAATTCCCGGAGCAAGGGTTCGTAAAAACTACAGTACATGCTTTCTATTATTGCATATAAGGTTAATTTAAATTTACATGATTGATTTAGCAGACACTTTTATCCAAAACAAGTCAAATCACCAGAAGAGCAACAATATAGTAGAGGTTTGATTGAACATATGTGTTTGCAATATATAGGTAAAATACAAAAAGGTAAATTAAATAAACAGTATTTTTACTGACAGATTTAAGTAAAAAACATCAAAAGCATCAGGCAGCTAGCTCTGCAACGCTCACATGGTTGCCCACTAAAGCTAAGTGGGGCTGCGCCCGGTCAGTACCTGGATGAGAGACCACATGGGAAAGCTAGGTTGCTGCTAAAAGTAGTGTTAGTAAGGCCAGCAGGGGGCGCTCAACCTGCGGTCTGTGTGGGTCCTAATGCCCCAGTATAGTAAAGGGGACTCTGTACAGCTCAGTGATGAGACGGATAAGACGTTAAACCGAGGTCCCGACTCTCTGTGATCATTAAAAATCCCAGGATGTCCTTCGAAAAAGAGTAGGGGATTAACCCCGGCATCCTGGCCAAATTTTCCCACTGGCATCTATCCATCATGGTCTCCTAACCATCCCCATGTCATAACTGGCTTCAACACTCTTCAACTTGTCTCCTGTCCACTAATCAGCTGGTGTGTGGTGTGCAGTCTGGTGCAATATGGCTGCTGTCGCATCATCCAAATGGATGCGGAGACCCCCATTGTGTGTAAAGTGCTTTGAGTGTCTTTGAGTATTATTATTATTATAAAAGCTAAAATGTAAAAATATTGAGCATTTTATTCTACAGTTTTAATGCTCCCTGCTATGTTTGTTTAGCTTGTCATAACGCTTCTGACATGCTAGGGCCTAAACATTTGAAAAATTGGTGACATTATCAGGGTGGGAGTTTTGGTGAACCCACTGAATATGAAGTTGAAGTCAGAATCATTAGCCCCCCTCTGATTATTATTTTTTTTAATATTTCCCAAATGATGTTTAACACAGCAAGGAAGTTTTCACAGCAAGTCTGATAATATTTTTTTCTTCTGGAGAAAGTCTTATTTGTTTTAATTCGGCTAGAATAAAAGCAGTTTTTAATTTTTTAAAAACGATTTTACGGTCAAAATTATTAGCCCCCTTAAGGTATTTTTTTTCAATTGTCTACAGAACAAACCATCATTATACAATAACTTGCCTAATTACCCTAACCTGCCTAGTTAACTTAATTACCCTAGTTAAGCCTTTAAATGTCACTTTAAGCTGTATGGAAGTGTCTTGAAAAATATCTAGTTAAATGTTATGTACTGTCATCATGGCAAAGATAAAAAAAAACAGTTAATAGAGATAGAGATTTTTAAAACTGTTATGTTTAGAAATGTGTTAAAAGTCTTTTCTCCAGTTAACAGAAATTGGGGAAAAAATACACAGGGTGGCTAATAATTCTGACTTTACTTGTATATATAAAACAAATTCTACACAAAAAAGAGCAATAAAAATAAGGGTGATATTAACCCAGCTCAAAATATATGAACAAAATATATGATAAATGATAATAAACAGACAGATTGACATATTTAAAACCGTGCTAAAAGAGGTCTACGGAAATGAAGGAAAGTTAGTAGAAGCCCAAACAGGGAACCTTAAACAATTTAATTACATCTTATGGTCTGGAGTAAATACTGTCAGTATTTTTATTATATGTGATTTCTTGTTTTAAATTTGTGATCTATTTAAATGGTTGTATGTGTTTCTTTAAACTAGACAATAAAAATAAACTATTATTTATGTCTCTTCAGGGTTTAACTGGTGCTCTGGGAATGCAAGGTGCAGAGGGGAAGATAGGGCCACAGGTAATGTCTCCACTTTCAAGTCAAACAATACACAAACAAATATTTAGGAAGGCTGTTAAAGTCAACATGAAATCTAAATTTGCTCTTCTTATCTTTATATTTATATAATTTGCCCTCATAATCTTTCATCAAATACCACCGCCTCCCCCTCGAAAGGACGTTTCTTCACTTCTGGTCACATTGAATGCCTTTCGGGAGGGGCTAACTGAGCATGTCTCCTCCATTTTGTTAGCAACATCCATCTTCCAATGAGCCAATCGGTTCCCAAAGGATGAAATCAAGCACCGCCCTACATTTTTTCTGATTTCAGGATTGTTTCAGTTTGATGTACGTCACAATATGGGAAAACAAGACAATCCTTACTTCAGTTTCACGGGGACTGTATACTCATATATAAAGATTTCTGTCTCTACACACACACACTGTGGCACAATAGCACATACCCAATCAAAAAAGAGCTATCTTAAATGGTCTGCAAATTGCTATGTATGAATAATGACCAGTTCCTGACGGAGAATGGTGTCATTTTACCTTATAGGGAGCACCAGGAGATGATGGGAATCCAGGTCCAGCTGGGTCTACTGGAACCAGAGGTGCAGCGGGATCCATGGGTTTGCCCGGACCTAAAGGCTTCAGTGTAATTCTCTAAAATAAGTAGATATATTTAAAAAGCCATAAGGAGAAATTGTGAATATTATTGAAGTGAGTTATATTATATATTCACTAGCAAGGACCAAGACACACTTACAGTAAATAGCAATCTTTATTGTATGGATCTAGGGATAAAAAAAAGGGTTAATAAATGAAAGGGTTAATACAGTAGGTTGATTTGGGCATCTCAGAGAACTCAAGATGTGGGTATCATCTCTGTATGAACATGATGGACAGTGCTACAGTGCTATTCTTTCTTAAATAAGTTTAGGGAGTAGGTGATTGGATGAGATGACAATGTGAGATGTAGTCTTGGTCCTGATCTTCAGTTAACAAGTTAACTACATTTATAAATCTTAAAACAACAAGGTGATATTTCAATAAACAACACGATACATCATTCTAATGTCTAAGAATAGGTTTAGCATTTTATATCACTTTAGTTTAGGTCCCAATTCATGCTAATAACTACTGACTTTTTGCCTGTCTATTATTAAGCTATTAACTGTTTATTAGTAGTTATAAAGTAGGATATTATTCTACATCCCTAATCCAAACTAAAACCTAAACCCAGCGGTAACACTTTAGATTAGGTCACAATTTATGCTAATAACTACTGGCTTATTACTTGCCTATTATTATGTTATTAACTGTTCATTAGTAGTTATAAAGTAGGATCTTATTCTACATCCCTAATCCAAACCAAAACCTTAACCCAATTTTACCTAACTAACTATTATTAAGCAGCTAATTAGTTGTTTATTAAGCTAGTAGTGTTATTTAATAGTTTGTTAATATTGTGAATTGTGATCTAGACTAAAGTATTGCCAACATTTATGATTATTTCTTGAGTTATGTTTTTCTGATTCTAAAGAACGTTGAGATGTTAATTTTGCCATGGTTGCAGTATTTTGGCGGTTACGTCCAAATATTTTAAATTCATCTCTGTATGAACATGATGAACAGTGCTACAGTGCTATTCTTTCTTAAATAAGTTTAGGGAGTAGGTGATTTTATGAGATGACAATGTGAGACGTAGTCTTGGTCCTGATCTTTAGTTAACAAGTTAGCTACATTCATAAATCTTAAAACTACAAGGTGATCTATACTAAAGTATTGCCAACATTTATGATTATTTCTTGAGTTATGTTTTTCTGATTCTAAAGAACGTTGAGATATTAATTTTGCCATGGTTGCAGTATTTTGGGGGTTACATCCAAATATTTTAAATTCATCTCTGTATGAACATGATGAACAGTGCTATAGTGCTATTCTTTCTTTAATAAGTTTAGGGAGTAGGTGATTGGATGAGATGACAATGTGAGATGTAGTCTTAGTTCTGATATTCAGTTAACAAGTTTACTACATTTATAAATCTTAAAACAACAAGGTGATATTTCAATAAACAACACGATACATCATTCTAATGTCTAAGAATAGGTTTAGCATTTTATATCACTTTAGTTTAGGTCCCAGTTCATGCTAATAACTACTGACTTTTTGCCTGTCTATTATTAAGTGATAAACTGTTTATTAGTAGTTATAAAGTAGGATATTATTCTACATCCCTAATCCAAACTAAAACCTAAACCCAGCGGTAACACTTTAGATTAGGTCACAATTTATGCTAATAACTACTGGCTTATTACTTGCCTATTATTATGTTATTAACTGTTCATTAGTAGTTATAAAGTAGGATCTTATTCTACATCCCTAATCCAAACCAAAACCTTAACCCAATTTTACCTAACTAACTATTATTAAGCAGCTAATTAGTTGTTTATTAAGCTAGTAGTGTCATTTAATAGTTTGTTAATACTGTGAATTGTGATCTAGACTAAAGTATTACCAACATTTATGATTATTTCTTGAGTTATGTTTTTCTGATTCTAAAGAACGTTGAGATATTAATTTTGCCATGGTTGCAGTATTTTGGGGGTTACATCCAAGTTTTTTAAATTCATACAATTATTTATGTAATTAATTTAGTATTTGCTTCATTGTGTCATTGGGGGTCCTTGCAAAGTTACTGTCTTCAATTTTGTAAATATTTATATTATAGAGTATTATTACATTTTCCCCCTAAAAATATGAAAGATGGTTATGAGGGAAATGACACATCTCTACCAGAGTGGCAGTCTGAAGATCAGAAATGTCATTTCTTATAAGACTTTTCCATTTATGGCTAAAATTATTAGCTGTCACTACCCATTTTCAAGAAAAGAGTACATATATATATATATATATATATATATATATATATATTTTTTTTTTTTTTTTTTTTTATAAAATAAAACTTGATGGGTTGGTGCTCCCAGTCCATTGTTAATCATCTTTTACTCCACAATTGAAAAATGCAATTTCCATCACATATAATTACCATCACTCAGTGTCAAAACTCCATGCTTTTAGAAATTACATTGAATGAAGGTCATTGATCAGATCTTCATTCCGGTGTGTAATAACTGTTTTAATGAAGCAATATGTGAAGATGTGCTTTTAAAGATCCATTAAAGTTGCAGCCGACATGTTATAATGTGGTATATTTATTAAAAAGAACACATAGCGTGATGAGACTGGCAAAGAATGGCTTTAATCAACATGTATAACCATTGCATCATTTACAATTGAATGACTTTCCACATTTGATTGATTTGTGAATTGTCTGATTGTTCAGGGTGATCCAGGGAAAGCAGGAGAGACGGGATCATCAGGTGCTCCAGGACAAAGAGTGAGTGCTGGCTTACAGATGTAGTGCAACATTGCCATGCCAAACTTAAAACATATTGTATCGTTTCACAACAGGCTATTATAAATGTCATGCTCTTATTGTGAAAAGGTTTCTTTTCTGGTATTTTAGATGGCCTGTCTGTGCTGGTAATGTACAGCACAGTGATTTAAAAGTCAAGTCAATCATGATGATTTGTTATGATGGTTGTATTTCCTGCAGGGACCTAATGGGAAAGATGGAGAAGAAGGACCAGCAGGAACTACAGGACCTCCTGTGAGTCTTCTTAATCGCTTATGAGGCATTTATGGCTGTTGCAATTTTTTGTGTATTTTGATTGGTTGTCTTCTTAGATATTTCATGTATCTCAATGATATATCTCACAATATAGTACTGTATTTCACACTGTTGTGAAAGAATTGAAGAAGCATTCTGCATATTGTTTGTTTTTATTTCTATTCAGGGTGTAGCAGGAAAGAGAGGGGAACAGGGACCTCCTGGACTAACAGGCTTTCAAGTATGTTCTTTTACCTTTAAATATGGTTCCAGTCAAAGATACATTTAATTGAATCTTATTTTATTAATAAGTTTTATGTACTACGACCGCAAACTGCAAAATTGCTTCTGCCACTCTAAGCTGAAACATCTTAAGTATGAATTTATCCATCAATGTACAGTTTGTTGACCTAAGGGAAATGTAATAAAAATGTATATTATAAATACTGATCCACCGATATGGAAATTTCAGCTCTTAACTTTTTTTGAAAATGTTTTGATGCTAAGAACTAATATGGAATGTAGATGTATAACTACATACATAAATATAAATATTACTGAATATATAACATTATATATATATATGGACTACAAATACAGACACACATGCACGCATGCACACATGTACGCACGCACACATGCAAGCACGCATGTACGCACACACACACACAACGTGCGCAGTACAGCCCCGTACAGACCCGGTGAACAAGGGATCCCTTCAGATTCATCAACACGCATGATTGCGTTCATCAAATTTACTTGCACTAAGCGTTCTAAAGTATGTCTGTATTTTACAAGCAAGGATTCTGACAAAGCAACGTGAAGCAGGCACTTTACAAAAGTTACGAGAAGGGGGCAAACACTTCAAACTTATGAAATGTGGGGGCTCATGGAAGTATCTTAAAGGCAAAGAATAGGGCTGTCTTTGACAGCTTGCGACTTCAACTGCCACTTTCACTACAGTACATTTACGTGGACACCAATACTCCGCTTTTATGATTAAGATAATACTGATTAAGAGTCTACCAAGTAAGCAGCGATTTTTGATTACCTTAAAGGATCACGCAAGTCCCAAAATGCAGAGGTTTTTCTTTCTGTTCGCCATGAGGTATCAAATCCCATTAAAACATCCTGACTGCAAATATGCTGAATGAGAGTGAACTGCTACTCTGCAGTTGAAATCTAAAGAACAAAAATGAAACACCAGAAATTGCATGAAACTCTGGAGGAAATGCAGGATAGCCTGGTGATGCGACATTAATTGTTTTATACTGAAACTTTCCTTCTAAAAGCATGTCCTTGGTCTTATCCAAATTTCTTCACATGCAGAGCCAAAGCAAGCTGAACTGGTGCTCTAGGCAAACGGCAATCACGCCGCCCTCTACCCGAAAGTGAAAAAGAAAGTGACTGGTTTGCTGATGAAAGCGAGGATGGTGAGGGAGAGGGTGGGTGTAGCGGATGAAGGTGAAGACCGGGGGGTTTGCTTACTATTCTGCTGCTCAAGGCGGCCACCTACTGTAGGCCGTCTCTATGCACGCGCCGTCCCTGAACACACGTCGGCCACAACAAGAAAAAAAAAATGCATCGGCGTTATTTTTTAACACGTTAAATATTTAATATTAATTAATAATATTAATAATATATTACTGAAATATTACAAAAAAAATGCAAACAAATACAACAGACAGTTTTTTTCAAGACCCACAACGTTTTTTTATGGTGAAAAAACTCCCAAACTGCTGACATACTGTCTTTCCTTTAAAATCAACTCATGGCTACAAATCCAAAGTAGATCGACCAGTGAAAATAATCCATAATTTATTAGCTGATAATTTATTATCTTATCAGGGGGAGTAATTACATTAAAACATTAGCATTTATAATCCTAAATCAATATGGCTGCTGATATATTGTGAATCAGTAGCCATTTTATGAATATTTAACATATCTGTCAGTAAACATTATATTATTTAAGCAGTGGTAAATCTATTATTAATTATCTTAAACATCTAGGGTTTACCTGGACCCCCGGGCCCACCTGGACAGTCGGGAAAACCAGGTGATGAGGTCAGTTAATTGTGGCTTTGAGCTCTTTTAACTTGTTCCTATATGCCATTTCTGCTCGGCATGATGAACATAAATTGTCTGAAAATAAGAATTATTACAACTCTATTTCCCCTCAGGGTATCCATGGAGAGGAAGGTGGTCCTGGTCTGACTGGACCAAGGGTGAGCTATTGTATCTACTGAGCTATTGTAAATTGTATGCAGTGTATGAGTGCACAGCTTTCAGAATGCTCTTCAATAGCCACTCAGTACTTCTGTCCATCGTTTTTGTAGGGGGAACGAGGAACCCCTGGTGAGAGAGGTGATCCAGGTCCTAATGGTTTACCAGGAGCCAAAGGAAGTGCAGGGGGCCCTGGACATGATGGTCCTAAGGTCAGGGTCTCAATATTATTAATAATCAAGGCTGATGTGAATAAAAGATGATAGAAAAGCTTTTTTAAAGGTATAATTCATAATTTACTCATAATTTTAACCAACAAGGTTAAACTTTAAAAGCCTAGCTGAACAAAGATTCCTACATCTGATAAAAATCTGATAAATATATGCAAATTGCATACACTAACCGGCCACTTTATTAGGTACACCTGTTCAACTGTTAGTTAACGCAAATTTCTAATCAGCCAATCAAATTGCAGCAACTCAATGCATTTAGGGATGAAGACATGGTCAAGACGAACTGCTGCAGTGTACACCGAGCATCAGGATGGGGAAGAAGGGGGATTTCAGTGACTTTGAACGTGGCATGGTTGTTAGTGTCAGATGGCTGGTCTGAGTATTTCAGAAACTGCTGATCTACTGGGATTTTACAATAATTATTAAAAAAAGCGCTATACAAATAAACTTCAATTGAATATTTAGATTTTACATATTTAAACATATATAACTTCTAAGTTTGAACATATGTGTACATATTTATAATTCCAATGGTTGGGAAAACACGTATAAGTGGCCATTTTTGCAATATTTTAAAATTTATGGTATATATGACAAAAATTTTATATATGTCAAATTCAAATATGAACTTGTTTGTAAGTCACAAATGTAATTTGCATATGTTTCCATGTATCAGATTTCTATATGGGTTACAAGATCCAAAAAGGTTTTAAAGACTTCAGATGTTCAGAGATAAACGCACATACATGAGCATATCACATTTCACAGATAAGGAAGCTTTGATTTATGATGGAGGTTTATGTTTCAAAGAGTTATGCATTTGGAAAATAAGGGTAATGATAGCAGAATGTTCATTTTGGATGAACCATCCCTTTATCAGTAATTAATGAAAAAGTATTGAACTGAATGCTTATTACCATAATTAAGATGTATCTTTAATTTAATTTTTTGCACTGTGTTCAACAAGATAACAGTATAATAATGGCTGTACAGGGTAAACATGGTCCAGCAGGAATTGTAGGAGAACCGGGACCACCGGGTTTACAGGGCATGCCAGGAGAGAGAGGAATAAGTGGACCAGCTGGACCCAAAGGAGAAAGTGTGAGTGTGGCAACATTTGCACATACAAGCACAGCACATGTTTTACATTCATACGTTGCAATCATTTTGACAATATTATATATATTAAATGCCCTCACGGGTCAGTTTCTGTAAGGCACGATGGCTGTGACATACTGGATGACTTGCTAATATCCTGAAGCAGGAAGTTTATATTTTCTGATATTATCTGTGAAACGTTATCTGTGTGGATCTGTGAAGTAGCAATGGAATTCACATCAAGGAGAGTTTTCCACATTTCACTTATCGATTTGCACAAAATCTTGAGTTTTAATAAATTTTATCTGTGTCTTCAGGGTGCAATCGGTGACAGAGGAGGAGAAGGGGCGGCTGGCAATGATGGTGTTCGAGTGAGTGACTCAGATCTAGTCAATAATTCAAAAATATCTGGCCCATTTCCTAACAAAGCAGGAGACACTAAATAGATTTTCTGGGATGTCTGTAGGGACTACCTGGACCTGTTGGACCTATTGGACCAGCCGGCCCATCTGGAGAGAAGGTTTGATGAATCTAATGAATATATACAGTGGTGGAAAGATTACTGAAAAATCTTACTTGAGTAAAAGTACCATTAATTGCCTAAAAATGTAGTGCAGGTCGAGTAAAAGTATCTGTTGTAAATATTACTCAAAGTATGAGTAAAAAGATTTTTCAAAAGTACTCAAGAGTAGTGAGTAGTGAGTATTACGCTGTAAAAGGTGATGCATTTACATGTAATTTGTGGATGTGTGTAAACGTAACATTCTGTAATGTCAATGTCAATGTCAATTTATTTATATAGCACTATTAAACACAACCAAAGGTTGACCAATGTGCTGAACAATAAATCACAAAGAACAGGTATAAAATTATAGCTGAAACGAACAATTCTCACAAATAGTTAATATAGGTAAAAACAACCAAATTTCACTAATAGTTATTATAGCTAAAACAAACAATTCTCACTAATAAAATGCCAAATCAAAAAGGTACGTTTTCAACCTAGATTTAAAAACAGACAGCGATGATATAGACCTAATACAGAGGGGCAGAGCATTCCACAAAGTAGGACCAGCTACTGCGAAAGCCCGGTCACCCCTGCATTTTAGCCTCGACTTTGGAATGTATAAAAGTCTCTGGTTTGATGACCGAAGAGACCGACCAGGCTGATGTTCAGTCAACAGGTCTGACAGGTAGGAGGGAGCTAAGCCATTTAGAGATTTAAAAACCAGGAGAAGAATTTTAAAAGTGACACGATAGTGCACAGGCAACCAGTGCAGAGAGCGCAGTACTGGTGTGATGTGGTCAAATTTTCTGGTGCTGGTTTAAAGCCTTGCAGCAGCATTTTGAACTAGCTGTAGGCGGGATAGAGTTGTCTCACTGATCCCAAAATATAGCGCATTACAGTAGTCCAATCTTGAAGTAATAAAAGCTTTATTACTAAATTAGCTAAATAAAGCTAAATTATTTTTTCAAAATTTTTTCTAGATAAAATATGTTTGACCGTTTTTAAAAGTCGAAGCTGAAAAAAGCAGGATTTGACCACTGCGTTAATCTGCTTATCAAATCTTAAGCCATCATCAAAGATAACACCCAGATTTTTTACACAGGGCTTCACAGACAAACCCAATTCACCAAGATCAGATGGTGATGTCCTAGAATAAATTGACGAGCTGAACACAATTGCTTCAGTTTTGCTCTCATTAAAATCTAGAAAGTTGTGCATTTAGTTATTGCCCAGCAGGCACACAACATCAAAAGATTTTAAAATTAGGTTAGATTAAGGTTGTGATGTCAGTTGACCAAAACTCAATGTCTTGCCAGCATCTAAGGACAACATTATTTTGATGTCCAATAACACCGTTAAATGATGCTGATATTTGGTTGATTTTAGGCTGTGCTAGAAAGTGACCAAAATCCAACGTTGTGCCAACATCTTAAATCAATGTCATGTTGACGTCAAATACTGACATTTATTCATCAGGTATGACAACCAAAACACCTGATTGTTGTCATAATGGTAACGTCCACACAACGTCAAGCTGTAACATCATTAGGCAATAAAATTTGGTTGATTTTAGGTTGTACATTGGTCATTGACATCAGCCTGACGTTTGGTTCTTATGTCAACCCGATTTTCATTTCCAAATAAAATGTAATGTCTCCACAACGTTGGGGTACAACGTCAACCTAAGGTCATGTTGACGTTTTGTGCCTGCTTGGTGTTTAAGGCCATTTTGATCATCATACAGTAAACATTCATCATCTTCTCATCAGTGACATCTATCTAACAGTCTTTGGGAAGATTTTGCAAGATCTTCTTGACACTTTCAATGCTTCCAAACGGTCTGTTGCATTTATAAATCGCTATGATTTATAAATAAATCACTATAATGCGATTTACCTTCTATGTGGGATTTGACTGGTCATGAATCACAGGACTGATTTTTCTAATTTACAATAGACAAGAAAAAAATAAAGCAGTGTCTGCAGGTTGAGGGAAAGCAGTGGAGTAAAAGTACCAATATTGCTTTACAAATGTAGTCAAGGGAAAGTTAAAGTACACATTTTTAAAACTACTTAGTTAATTACAATTCCTGAGAAAAACTACTCAATTACAGTCATTTGAGTATTTGTAATTTGTTACTTCACACCACTGTGTATATACAGTTGAATATACAGATATACTGTACTGTACATACTGTTGAAGTATTGTTCTGTTAACATCCGGTGAAATTGTAATTCTTATATAGGCATATAGTCTTACAGGTTTTTTTTTTTAACTACTCCAATCTGTTTTGTCTAATTGGGTTTTCTCAGCAAAAGTGAGACTTTGATGTTTCTTTCATTACTGTTGTGTATCTGTTGTGCTGAAAGTATTGTTTAATTACAGGGAGAACAAGGCCCACGAGGCCCCTCTGGATCTCCAGGCTCCAGAGCAATGCCTGTGAGTAGAACAGTTTAACATTAGAAAACCTGACATTTCACATCTGCTTATTGTGTGTTCTTCACTGGAGTGGTTGCCAATATCATTAATGTATTGCGTTTCAGGGCTCACCTGGAGAACCAGGTCCTATTGGTCCTGTTGGGTTTGCTGGACCTCCTGTAAGTTAGTCCACCTATTCATTCATTCATGAAATATTTTTATTATTATTATTATTTTTTAACATAATTTGGTATAAGTTGTAAATGTGGTCTTTTTTGTGTAAGGGTCCTGATGGTCAGCCTGGAGTTAAAGGTGAAACTGGAGAGGAAGGTGCAAAGGGAGAAGGAGGTTCTCCAGGGCCTCAGGGAATGGCAGGGAAACCTGGGCCACAGGTGAGAAACAGGAGTGATAGATAATCACAGACATGATAGGTCATGTAATGAGACAGTTTAAAAAGTAAAAAAAAAAAAAAAAAAAAAAAAAAAACCTGTTTGTGTCAAAGAACCCCTCAAAAACTGAAACAATTAAATACAAAAATTTAATGAAATTATTATAATAATTGATAATAATGAAAGTTTATTGAGCATCAAATCAGTTTATTAAAATGATCACTGAAGACTGACAATGTTGAAAATTCAGCTTTGCCATCAACGAGAAGAATACACACAAGACATGCTAATTATACAAAGGAACTATTAGTAACTGGTCTAAGAATTAAGTGCTCAAGAAAGGAGGGGGGAGTGTTTTTTAGAAAGAGAAGAGTGTTTCTCGAAGTGGTTTGTCAAGCCCACTCACCTGTGTTAAGCACACTTTATAAATGCATAGCGTTTTCATATTTTGTAATAGATATGGAGTGATTCCAAAAATGTGTTTGGTGCAAATGTGCAAAAACTGGTGCAAGTGTCAGAAAAGTATCAAAGAGATGAAATAATGTGTTTTCTACAGGTGGTTTATCAAACCCACCCACTTGCAAGTCATGCTGCTAGACAAATATTTAAAAAATCTTACCAATCCCCAACTTTAAAAGTAAATATTTGCAAATATAAGACATATGAACATAGTTCTTCTTTTAGGGAGTGGTGGGAATCACAGGCCTCAAAGGTGGCAGAGGAACTCAAGGAGCAGCTGTAAGTCACAAAAATCACAGGCTGTCATACACAGAAATGCTTCATTACTTGCTGAATCATCTTGCTTTTTGTCTTCTCTCTTTTTCTGAATCCATTTTGCTAAAAGGGTCCCAGTGGTTTTCCAGGATTCGCAGGAGGTGTCGGCCCAGCAGGATCTGCTGTGAGTGATTTTTGTTGTACAGATTCAACACACAAACTACATTTAATAGCTAGTCCCTAAAATAGTCCTTTAAAATACTTTCCCTTAAAATAGGAAAAAATGCTGAATGGACTTTTTACCTGCATATATTTCATTTAAGGGTCCAGTTGGTGAGCCTGGTCCTATTGGAGCTCCAGGTAAAGAGGGCCCATCTGGGATTCCAGGAGAACCTGGAGGTCCAGGCCGCCAAGGGGAGCTTGGAAACCCAGGGCCTGCCGGTGGCCCTGGAGACAAAGGTGAACCGGGAGAGGACGGACTGCCGGTATGTGATTCCTTATAAGTTATCACTCAGTGTTAATACAGTACTTTTTCAGGGTTATTCTTGTGCTGAATGATAATAATTCAGAAAAAATAAACTGTTTGACCAGCCTGATCTCACGAGGAAACGTAAGTATTTTACGTTTTGACAGTTTAGTGGCTATTTCGTACAAATTCAAGTTCAGTCGTATGGAAATGTACGATTTTAAAAAGGAGGCGTGGCACCCTACCCCACCCCTAACCCCAATTATCATTAGGTGATAAGCAAATCTTACTAAATTGTACGAATTAGATCGTACGAATTTATAAAAATTAGCCACTAAATCAAAAAGTTACAAATTGCTGTGAGATTGTGTTGGTATGACCCAGGTTTAACACCATAATCTCATAAAAGCCAACACAGGAGTGTACAAATCTGCATTTTTTACAGACTGTGTGTAAACAAAAGAAAAAATAAGCAGTAGGTAATTTGCTTAAGATTGCACATGACAAATGCTGTCCAATATATCAGTGTGCTACCTAAAGCTACACAATAATAATAATCTAACATGGTAATTCTAATTGATATGTTTAAATAATGACATTTCAGATAAATTGAAACAAGTGGAGTAAATTCTTTCCGTTCTACCATGCACCACTTTTTGTTATTTACGTTCTTCATCCTACACTAACTATCATACCATAAGATGGGTTAAGACATGTTTTCCAATGGCATGTAATAATGGTGTAAATACTATTACATTAACTACACTCCAAAAAATTATGTTTATTTATTGGCATCGATGGTCCAGTGAAGAACCTTTAACATCCATGGAAACTTAATTTCTCAAAAGGGTAAAATTTTTTGTTTTCTTTAGATTACAGTAAAGTGTAAAAGGCTTTTCACAATGAGAAAAACTCTTTAGTGAAAGGTTTTTTGTGGAACACAGCATTTTTACTCTTGGGTTATGATGACTTATGACCACATTATGATTTATTATGATGAAATTCACAATTTCAGTCACTATGTGATAACAGGTAAAATGATGGAATACCAAGTTAAAATTCAGAATGAAATGTATGAGATAAAAAGTTTAGATTATGACTTTAAAAGTCAGAGTTATGAGATAAAAAGCAAAATCTTACATAGGTAAAATTTCGAATTTAAAAGTTGAAATCCCATTTAAAGTTATAATTTCGACCTAGTATTCAATTTCATGGCTTATTTTTTATTGTATGGAAGAAATGGGGTCTTTAAAAAATCCTGATAGTAGTTTGTCAATCCCAAAAATGTTGGAATATAATAGTATATTGTGTTCAGTATTACAAATTTTAACGAATCTTATATTTAGATAAAGTCTAAAGAAATCACCTTGATTCTGTATGTCAAAACTCTTTTTCTTCTTTACTTTTAAGGGTCCAGATGGACCTCCAGGTCCCGGTGGAACTCCAGGACAGAGAGGACTTGTGGGTCTTCCTGGAATGAGAGGAGAGCGGGGAATGGCTGGCCTTCCTGGACCTGCGGTAGGTCACAATTTTTACCTTCTTGCCATATGAATGACTATATTGACATATGTCATTTTAGAATTGCATTTACCAGCCCAGTTGGTTAGCTGTACAATTGGTAAAGGATGAGAATGCTACAATACAACTTCTTTGATACCACATCTACTACCTGTTTGGATTTTCAAGGGTCCACCAGGAAAAGCTGGTACTCAAGGTCCCCATGGAACCAAAGGCGGTGCTGGACCCATTGGTTTGCCAGGAGCAGCTGGACCCCGAGGAGATGCTGGTGCAGAGGTATGAGATGCTGGTTTGAAAAACACACAGTTAAGATGACTGGATACATATAAGCACCCATTACATGATTTAATTATTTTTTTAATAAGGGTTTGCCTGGAGCTGAAGGAGTTCAAGGAGCCGATGGGATCATTGGAGTCCGAGTACGGACACGTACCTCACTTGACATAAATAAAGTTGTTAAAATATTATTTTTTAAAAGCAAGGCCAAGTTCAAATGATGTGTAATAATTTGCTCTCAGGGTGACAGAGGAGACTCAGGACCAGAGGGTCTCGCAGGTGGCCAGGGAGCTTCAGGATCCCAAGGGCCTGTCGGAACCCCTGGAGGTCCAGGACAGAGAGGACATCAGGTTTGTTTATGTATCCATTGCTGACATGTCGAAGTAAATTTGTGTCTGATACAATCAGTAGATTGGCAAGAAGAAATCATTTCTCTCTGTAATTTATAAAAACTTATTTATATTATAGTCCAATGGTTCTCAAACTGTGGTACGCGTACTAGTAGTTGTATGTGAGCTTTCTTCCAGTGGTACGCGGATGAATACTGAATGGTAAAAGAAAAAAATTAATACAGTTTTAAGCCTTTGACATGAATGATTACACTGTGATCAGCACCAGCTGACCGATGTGCTCACATCAGTATACTTTAGTTCATCGCGTTATCAGATGCTAAGAATAGGAGCTAGAATATAGCTTAATTTAAGTTGGTATCTGTGTTGGGTTTAACACAAACTCTTCGGTCTACTTAAGATGAGATCTCAAATCACGGAAAAGCCGCACATATGAATGTATAAATCACGTATGAATTGATAAAGCAGTCTATTTAAGCATATAATCGCTTACTTTGCTGACACACGTACTGTAAAGGGCATGCTGTAAGCAGATCTAATTTCTAGTTTAAATATGTAGTGAATGTGTAGATTAAGATTGCAAAGATATACAAATATGTCATGTGTACATGCAACATTTTTCAAAAAATTTTCAAAAATGGTTTATATGAATATGATGATATATACTGTAGCCTATATTTATGAGATCCAAGCAACATTTCCAGGTTTTGACGACAATCTTACTATTTGTTAATATTTTACATTACAACAGTACAGCAGTTTTCTTTTTACTTAAAGAACAGTGCAGTGTTAATGTTCAAACTCTTTCTAATGTTTAAAGTGGCTGACAATAACAAATATTCTATGTAATTCTATATAATAAATATTATTCTTTAAATGCTCATTTAATTGAATTTATTCAGTTTTTTATTTGTTTTTACAGGGTGCAAGAGGTCCACCTGGTGCTGATGGTGCAGCAGGAATCAGAGGGAAAAAAGTATGTCTGAATATTTACATATTGGTGCAAACAACTAAAACCAAAGCTAAAAAAGCTGAAAAACTAAAATAAATAATAGAATACATACTGTAGGTAACAATAATAAAAGAAATTACTTTATGTAGTTTTAACATTGCAATTGTCATGTTATTCATTTTTTATTTAATATAATTTTACTAGTTTTATAATTTCATATTACTCCACATTTATGTTCACATGAATAAATACTAAATTTTAATCATAGCACCGTTATTATTGTTTCAAGAGTTCACACTTAGCCGATGATTGGTTAAAAACTTGCTGTCCCGGGAGAGAACCCTGAGCTCAAAAAAGCTCAAAAAAGCTCAAGAGAGATTGAACTTGGGTAGATCTCAAGAACTCCCCTACTTAGTATGTGTGACTAATGACGAATTGCTTTTTAAGGGAAAAATACTATTGGCTAGGAAATTGACTATGGTCCCAATTTGGTTTAGTCAATTTACTTATGATGCATGTCTTTGGACGGTGGGAGAAAACTGGGGAAACCCACGCGCCACGGGGAGAACACGCAAACTATTGAGCATGTCTGGGGTAAGATGAAGGAGGAGGCATTGAAGATGAATCCAAAGAATCTTTGGGAGTCCTTCAAGAACACTTCCGTTGCCATTTCAGATGACCTTATTAATAAGTTATTTGAGTCATTGCAGAGATGTATGGATGCAGTCCTCCAAGCTCATGGGAGTCATACACAATATTCATTCTTTTTTTCCCACTGAACCATGACTTCATATTCTATAATGTACATTATTTCTGTTCAGTGACATGACTTTTGTCTAAGCAAAGTCAGATTTTACTGTCCTAATTAAATAATTAAAAATCAAGGCATGTCCATATTTCATTTTGGTAAAATAAGCGTAATCTAGAGGCGTTTGCCTTTCATATAAGCCACTTCTGATATCAAATGATCAACTACAAGTCAAGTAATTTGCTGTTCATAAAACCTAGATAGGCAACAAGACTTGTCAGGTTGTGTACAACTTGTCATTCAAGCAAAATGTCTTCTGATCAAACTTAGGGACCGCAAGGACCAATGGGAGACAAAGGTGAAAAAGGAGAAGCGGGTGATAGAGGTCAGAAGGGCCACCGTGGCTTCACTGGACTTAGTGGACTTCCTGGAGCACCAGTACGTATAATTGAAAATATGTCCCCTGCTTCAAAATACAATATCCATCTACTGATCTGTCATTCATTTCCTCGCAGGGAGCTCCAGGCGATGATGGTGCTATTGGAATCATTGGACCGAGTGGGCAAAGAGTGAGTGAAAGATTCAAAACATCACTCAACTTTGATTTCTCAAAGCACCAGAAGAACAGACGAATGTCGAACAGAATTTAATGTTGCAAAATTTTATTGATAGGGACCCCCAGGCCCTGCTGGACCACCAGGAAAAGAAGGAGATATTGGTCCACCCGGAGCATTGGGGCCTCCTGGGTCTCGAGGGGCCTCTGGAGATTTCGGACCAGCGGTGAGAAAAGAGATCATATGTATAAAGGATTTTTTATATACAGTTGAAGTCAAAATGATTAGCCCCCATGTAAATTTCGGTTTTCTTTTTCAAATATTTTATAAATGATGTTTAAAAGCAAGGGATATTTTTATACAGTATTTCCGATAATATTTTTTCCTCTGGAGAAAGTCTTATTTGCTTTATTTTGGCTAGAATAAAAGCAGTTTTATTTTTAAAAAACATTTTAAGGTCAATGTTATCAGACCCTTTTAGCTATATTTTTTTCAGTTGTCTACAGAACAAACCATCATTATACAATAACTTGCCTAATTACTCTAACCTGCCTAATTAATCTAGTTAATCTAGTACATGGTTTAAGCTTTTTTATGTCTATAGAAAGATCCCATCTAATATTATACTAATGCTGTCACACATTATTCTAGTGTTGTTGGTCAAGTAAAAAATAACTTACTACAGATGTTGTATAATTTTTAGTGTGTTGCTAAAATGCTAATCACTGAAATTAAAGTAATAATGCAATTATTTATTTTTCTGTTATTTTGGACTTCCCTGTTATACAATTGAAGTCAGAATTATTAGCCCTTCTGAATTATATGTTTTTCCTCTGGGCAAAGTATTATTTCTTTTAGTTTGCCTTGAATAAAAGCAGTTTTAAAATAATAATAATAATAATAATAATAATAATAATAAAATTTGTTTTTAGAATTAAGTTGTTATAATTAATAGGTTTAAAATGTGTTTAAAAGAATCTCTGCTAAACTGCACTTGGAAGAAGAATCAAAATGCTGTCTTCGACTGTATGTACTGTATAGACATATTTCCTGATCCACAGAATGTTGAATATTATGTGAAAATGAAGGGAGGCTGCTATGTTTAGCATTTAGTTTTGATAACTATACATAAATACAGTGTTCAGCTTAATTGAGTACACCCCATTTTGATATTGTATATTTTAATCTATCTCAGTGTATAATGGGTATTGTATTTAGGTGCATTTATACAAAACAGATTTATTAAACAGATATATTTATTAAAATAATATTTTAGTCACCAAACATAGTTAGAAATTGTAGGACAATACCATTAAATTCAAGCAAAATATTGCCCAAAACAATGTCTTTTAAAATTTGTACTTAATATTTTTCTATAACATACCTGTATAAATTTGGATGTACTAGTTTTTGGATGTACTAGTTTTTGGATGTACTAGTTTTTGGACCGGCTTCAGTACTGACTAAACTAATGTGTATGCACAAATATAGTATTGTAAAGCTTCCTATTAAAATTTGAATTTAAAAGAGAGATTTGTGAGGGCTGTACTTATATGTGCTGAGCACTGTATATTTACATATACATGCAGTGGAGATAGTCAAGTACTGTATATACACACGTTGCCTGCATGCTATTAATTGTGAAAAGCCTACTGTCTCAGATGCAGCAGAAAATCAACAGTTTCTTTTGCCAGATGCCAATTTTGCATCCCTAATGATTTATAATCAGACATGTTTTGTACTTCATGATTCATAATCATGATTAATTACCAGATGCTGCTAATGTGATTAGACGTGTAAACACTTGTGTTCAGCATAAACAGTATTCGCCCATTTGTCTGCAGGGACCCACTGGAGAACCTGGCCCACCTGGACCTCCAGGTGCTCCTGGCCCCCCTATAGCTGCTGTTGATGACCTGTTTGGGACAAACTTTGACCTTGATGTGGAATCAGAGCCAGAGGAGCCTCCACCACCACCGCCAGAGTTCAACGAGGATGAAGCTAGACCCAATAATGGATCTGAGGCAGTTCGGGTCGACAGTGGGCTTCACCTGTCTCTGAAGAGCCTGGGGAGTCAGCTGGACAGCATGCGCAGTCCTGATGGCACGCGCCAATATCCTGCCCGCACATGCCAGGACCTGAAACAGTGCTATCCTCTGAAGAAGAGCGGTGAGTTGAACAGAAGTTCTGGATTTTTGAAGCTGGGCTTATTCTGCTAAATTTTTTAAAGGTGCCATAGAATGAAAATCTGGATATGTGTAGGGATAATTAAATAATACAAGTTCTGCACATGGAAATAACATACAGTGAGCCTCAAACATCATTGTATGCTTGTTCTCATGTAAATTAATGTAAAATCTAGTAAAAAAAATGGATCATTAATATGTAAGGGTCAGTGTATCTTTTTCAAAGACACGGGATTGTTATCATGATGTTTGTGCAGCATGCCTCCATTCAGATAAAATAAATTTTTACCTTCTATTTTAAAATACTATGACTTATTGAAATGTGCGTAAAGAACAACTGTATTAATGCCTCCCTCACTTGAAGTGATTCGTAGTAAATCTTCGGGAAGTGGAAATATTATGGGTTTAACAATATTAAAACTTTCTTTTCAGAAAAATGTTCGATAAAGCAACCTGATGCTTGCATGTAATGTCAAAATAAAGGTTGTTTCATTTAAAACATGTTAAAAAAAAATAATTATTTAGCTTATAACCGGCCCTTATATGAGAAATATATTGTCTTAATGAGCTTAACAAACAAAATTAATTATGTAGGCTAATGGATGTCTGTGCGTACAACACATTCCCTTATCCACGATAGAGAGAAAGTGAAAGTAAAGGCCGAATGGAGGAGGCTTGTTCTTTATACTCTAGCTGCAGATGCTGTTTAACTTCTTTCTTACTAGTGAAGCATTTAGTTTTTCCACTTACAAAGTCCACCATGTAAATAGCAAATACGCAATGTCGCGACACAACTGACTCTAAAAGGGAATAGTAGATAGGACTCTGATTGGTATATTCTCAAAACACACCCAGAACTCATTAAGAGAATAAGCTCGATGTTAGACCATGCTCTGTGGCGCAGAGCGTACTTGTCCTTAAAGGAAAAGTGGATTCGGACACACCCTAAATGCTTTTGCGCCCTGCGCTTCAGACTTTGCGCCTAGATGATTAAAATTGAGCTCATAATGTGAATATTACCTGAGAAGCAAAGCAAAAACCAACACAATCTGATGGCAATTCGTAACTTTTTGATTTAGTGGTTAATTCGTATGAATTTGTATGATCTAATTCATACAATTTTCTACAATTTGCTCATCCCCCAATGACGGTTGGGTTTAGGGGTGGGGTTAGGTGTCACGCCTCCTTTTTAAAATCGTACATATTCATACGACTAAATTCGTATGAATTAGCCACAAAACTGACAAAACTTAAAATACTTATATAATAATCAGGCTGGCGGAAACATAAAATAGCAATACGTCTGTTTAGAATTTTATTAGCATTTCTTTGTGCACTGTCAGATTTGTTTTTACAAATATAATAAAGTATATAATCAAATAAAATCAAATAAGGGTCAACAAAAACAAAATCTATGGACAGAACATACAAAAAATAGCGGAATTTTGTAAATTTTGAATATCTACTGGAATATAAAGTGGGATCCAAAGGAAAAACAAGAATTGAAATATTTTACTTTAGCAGCCACTTTTGTCCAAAGCAACTTAATTGAAGAGGCAATACACACAATATGTGCTAGTTATGAGGAACTGTTTGTGCTCAGAGAATTAAGTGGGCGAGAATTAGGAGGGCGGAGTGTTTTTTTGAGAGTAGAGTTTTTCTACATGTGGTTTGTCAAGCCCACTCACACTTCTTTTTAGCGTGGAATGCAATAATACATAGTATAAACGCTTTTAATACACTAACATATATGCAAGAAACATGCTGAGCTTTTTTCCCAATGTATTACAGGTGATTATTGGATAGACCCGAATGAGGGCAGCACGAGAGACGCCATCCAGGTGTACTGTAACATGGAAATGGGGGAGACCTGCATCCCTGCCAACCCTGCCAGTGTCCCACGCAAGAATTGGTGGACGTCTCAGTCCAGCAACCAAAAACCCGTCTGGTTCGGAGCAACTATGAACCGAGGAACCAAGGTAAATATGATCACAGTGGCAATCATTTCAATAAAAAAAGGCTAATTAATTATGTGACACTAATAGCATGTCTCACAGTATACACACTCCAATCTACAGTGAAAAGTAACTAGCCAATATATATATATATATATATATATATATATATATTTTGTATTATTATTTTTTTTTATTGTAGGAAAAAAACACTTGAAATTTAACATGAAAATACACTTTTATATTTTACATTTTAACCCCCCCCTCCGCCTCCCCAAAGCATCCAGATTCAGTTTAGCAGGTAGATGTATTATTATACATGGGCTAAGGCAAACAAAAACATATACTTTATTCTACAAATAAAAATACACATATACATATATCAATCAATAGTGTGAGAGGTATTTGCTTGTGCCGTTGTATAGTTATGTTCCAAAAATTGTTTAAACAGATCCCAAATTTTATGGTACTCCTTTAATCTGCCCTTTATACTGTAGGTTATTCTTTCCAGTGCAATGTAATGTGTCAAATCTTTTAGCCAGTGATCAATCGATGGACTTTCTGTGTTCTTCCTATAGAGTGCTATCACACGCCTTGCAATAACAAGACACATATCAATCATTTTAGTTTTATAACCTGATAATGACAAACCTACAGGAAATAAACCCAAAGCACATATTTCAGGAGTAACTGGAATTGGTTTTAAAATAATTGACGAGATTAATGTTATCACATTTTGCCAGAAATTCTTTATCAACTCACATTCCCAGATACAATGAAAGAATGTTCCTTAATGTTTTTGGCATTTGAAACATATATCTGGGATGTTTGGGTTAAACTTGATTAGTTTTTCAGGTGTGATATAGGTGCGCATTACCCATTTATATTGGATCATTTTAAATCTAGTATTAATTGACAAGGTCTGGGCTTTAACACATATTTGGCTCCATTCTAAATCTGTCAGGTCATATTGTAAATCTGTACACTAAGAATCTTTCTTAGATTGTAATGTTTCTTTGGAGCCATTGACTAATTTGCTATAAAACAAGGAGATATAATTTGTCATAGGATTTTGATAAAACATTATTTTTTCTAATTCAGTTTGTAGAGGTCTAGCTAGTGAATAGTTTTGCTTGACATTAATATAGCTGCGAATTTGTAAGTATTTAAAAAAATACGTCATTGGGATTTCAAATTTTTAACTAGCCAATATTTAATGCTTAAATAACTTGTACTGTCACTGGATTCAAAATGAAAACTGTCTCTAAATAGATGACAGTTAATAAGATTTCATATTGTATTAACAGTAGGATTGTGTGCTGATTGAGATGGTATTGATCTGTCGGTTTTAGGTAGTATCATTTTAAGCAGTGTTGGGGAAAGTTCATTTTAAAAGTAATGCGTGGCAAAATTGAGCTACTCCCCAAAAAAGTAACTAGTTGTGCTACTTAGTTTCTTTTTATGGTAAGTAATACAGTAAATTTCTTTTGAGTAGGGCCAGACGGAATCAGCGGACGTTTTTTGCTATTTCTGCTGAGAATTTTGGTAAAAGTCTGCGGATTTCTGCGGAATTATTTTGGGAGTATCATAACTAAAACCTTAATATATGAAACAAAAAATAATATCTTTTAAACTTTTAATTAATGTTTAAAATGCAAATCCATTTAGATTTACTTTATTTGGTAAACAAAGCAAGCTTGTCATATAATATATCTAGTAAAAGACTACTTTACTACTTTACTTTACAAACTGCATTGTACATAAATCAGATGAACATTTTAACACTAGTCAATAATATTACTGAAATTAAGTAAAAAACTGAATAGATATACACACATTTACTCATGTAAATAAACAGAATTAATTATGACGGACACTACGGACAATTTAATTTATTCAGTTCACCTATAGCGTATGTCTTTGGACTGTGGAGGAAACTGGAGCACCGCTGTTTAAAACATATACGCTGGATAAGTTGGCGGTTCATTCTGCTCTGGCGACCACTGATTAATAAACAAAGCAGAAAAGAAAAGTAATGAATGTGTACAATGTTATATTATATTATATTATATTATAATATATTATATTATATAATTTCCCAAAGATGGGTTGCGGCTGGAAGGGCATCCGCTGTGAAAAAACTTGCTGAAAACTTCATTCCGCTGTGGCGACCCCGGATTAATAAAGGGACTAAGACGACAAGAAAATGAATGAATGAATAAATGAATATTATATAAGTCCAGGGACTGCAAATGCCAAATAGCCTCCATGCTGTTTTATGTGCATTGTCCTTGTCAAGTCAAATCACATCAAATAAAATAATAAAAATACTCAATACAATACCAATGGAAGACCGATTTAGCCACTAAATGAAAAATAATAAAGCTTACAAAATATCAGTCTAAGGCACTCGAAAAAAAGTAACAAAGGCTAAAAAAAAGCCTTTTAATCATGTTGGGCGAGGCATTGGCGCAGTAGGTAGTGCTGTCGCCTCACAGCAAGAAGGTCGCTGGGTTGCTGGTTCGAGCCTCCACTCAGTTGGCGTTTCTGTGTGGAGTTTGCATGTTCTCCCTGCATTCGCGTGGGTTTCCTCCGGGTGCTTTGGTTTCCCCCACAGTCCAAAGACATGCGGTACAGTGAATTAGGTAGGCTTGGTCCGTAGTGTATGAGTGTGTGTGTGTGGATGTTTCCCAGAGATAGGTTGCGGCTGGAAGGGCATCCGCTGCGTAAAAACTTGCTGGATAAGTTGGCGGTTCATTCTGCTGTGGCGACCCTGGATTAATAAAGGGACTAAGCCAACAAGAAAATAAATGAATGAATGAATAATCATGTTAATAAAGTATTTGTTTTTACTTTCACCTACTTTTCGAGTGCCTTGGACTGATGATTTTTTGTATATGAGTCTCTTATCCAAAGAGCACTGACAATTATTACCCCTGAAGCACTTTTTGTTTGATTCTGGATTTTTTCTTTCACAATTGTGAGGTGAACATGCAAAATTGCAAGTTATAAAGTCAGAAATGCAAGATACAAATCCATAATTCTGAGACAAACAAGTCAGAATTTTGAGATGAATTTCTCAAAAACCTTTTAATTTTTCATCTAGTGGTAATAAAATAAATGTTAATACAATTCCTGTGTCAATAGTAAAGGGATTAGATACAAAAGACAATATTTAGCTCTGTATTTTAAACCAATTTCTAAAGCCTAGTTAACCCCCCCACCACCACCCACCCTTTGTGTTTCTTTTATCATTCCTCTTTAGTTCACCTATGGAAACAAAGAGGCATCAGCTAATGCAGTCTCAGTCCAGTTGAGATTCCTCCGCCTGCTGTCAAAAGAAGCATCACAGAGCGTCACCTACCACTGCAAAAACACTGTGGCCTATAAAGATGAGAAGAACAGCAATCTAAAGAAGGCTTTAATCCTGAAGGCTTCTGATGGACAGGACATCAAAGCATACAACAGCAATCGTCTGAAGTACACCGTCACCGCCGACGGCTGCTCAGTAAGTTCACTTTTTATTGTTTTTTTCACATTTATTAATTATTGGCATCTATATTTGCCAATTAAAAGCTAATCATACATTTAATTGCCACTATGACACTATGTTGAAACTGTTTAAGAAGGTACTATTATTTTAATTATTGTTATGGTATTTTAATATCACCATGTGTATGCTGACCTTTATTTGACTAAATATATAGCACAAACAATAAACTTCTGAAATGAAAATAGCAATCATAAAATAACAATACTCTATTTCTAAACTATTAAATACAGCTTTGGTAAGCATAAGATGTGTCTTTTAAAACATTTTATTATTATAGCCTTTTGACAGGAAGTGTACATGTACACTAATAAATACAACTTCTTTCAAAGATTTAAAAGAGAGTTGAAAACAATAAGATTCTGAAAAAATCTAGCCTTGAACATTACAAATACTAAATATCTAAAGTAATGTATACCATCACAATAGCAATAATTAAATTTTTATATGACTCAAGTATGTGTATCACTGTCTAAATTCTCAATGGTGGCTTATCCAGCCCAGGCTCATTGGAAATGCATTTCTCAGCCAATATTTTGTGAAACGTAAAGTATGTTGCTCCGGGAACATTCCATTGCATGTTTCAGATGGCAAATTCACTAGAGGGCGCTGTCAACATCTGTGTGAATTTAATATACATGGGATAGGGATGTCACAGAAAGCAAGCTTGTTGTACAAATCAACTAGAGCAGCGAACACGTGACCTAAACCCAAACCATTCAAATGCAATGAAAAAGGGCAGAGTTTTACTTTGATTTTGCATTGCTTTTATCGCTGGAAGATATAGAGCGAGACAGATATATGGCAAATGTATTCGATTTCAAATCATGCACATTGGCAAGTTGTTTAGTGGTGTTTTTTTTGTGTTGGGGAAAGAACTGCATGAACAGGATATTTTACTCATCAATAATATCTCCCTGTAAATATCATTATTTTGAAAAGGAACAAAAGCTCCTTTTACTATTCTGCAGTCACCTAGAAACTGCAGTTAAACATGTTTTTGCAGTTTTACTCAAATGTAGGCTTAAGAACGTCAACAAAGTGACCCTGTGTTGGGTTTATCTGCTAAAGTTATCTCATCTGATTGAATTGACTTGTGGACAGTTTGCTGTTGTAAATTGCTGAATGTTCCTTATGCTGGGTTTACACCAGAGGCCCCGTTTACACTAATATGTTTGTTTTGAAAGCATAAGTTTTGCTACAATTACGCCATCCGTCCGCACTACACCAGAGTGTTCGAGCGCTGCACTGCTGCTTCAGCGATGCTCACGCCTCGTGATAACGCACTGCTGCTGTGTGCGGTATAAAAGCTCTAATCTGTTAACATAAACGCCAAAAGAACACAAGCTGCTCACGCTCTGCTTGCGCACTGCTTACACTAGAGGTGTGAAACAGGCTTGAGTCTGGTGTGAACAGAGCATAAGGTTAGTTAGTCCCAATGTCCCTTTAAGGCAAGTCGTTTCACTTGGCGGCCATCTTTTTTTTAAATTTTTTTCCCCCAACTTTATTTATAGAAATTTTCAAAAATTTACAAATATCACACATTTTAGAATATTATTGTAAATTTTGACATAGAGAGAGAGAAGTAAACAAGGATCTAAATGATTATGACAATTATTAACCCCAGATATATTTATATAAAAAAATAAAAAATAAAAAAATACAAATTATTGTAGTAAAATAATTGTGAAATAAACCAATGTAGTAAAATACGGCGTCTGGCCAGGAGGGACACAAAAGCCACAAAATCTGCTTTGTATTGTGAGCAGTGAACTGACAAAGGAAGTGTACCATACAGTGCTGTTGTAGATACAGGTTTAATTGATTGTCCAACTACTTGAGACATTAGCTGCGTCCCAAATGGCACACTATACACTATGCACTCATGCACTATGTACTTATGCACTTACACACTCAACAGGATAGTATATGTATGTAGTGCTGTCCCAAATGGCACACTAATGTTTTTTTACTAAGCGGAAATTCAAACCGTTTCCCTGATGACGTTTGACTGTTGCCAAATCAGTGAAATAAACGACTGAATTATCAAGTAATACCTGCCGTGAGTATTGCCGCATTTACCATCGGGAGGCGCTATAATCACTCTCGTAGGAGAATTTTGCTTTCACTATCCAAAATAAATAAAGTTATTCAACATGTGCGTCCGATCGCTCCGCCCCTTCCGCTACGTAAGCAAACCTGCGGTCGTTGAGTGCGTGAAGTGTCCATCATTACACACTTCATTTTACCGGCTGAATGAGTGCATCATCCGGGTAATTAAAGTGCACTTATTATTTTGAGAGTTTTCAATGTGAACACACTACTTACACTATTTATACTACAAAATGGCGTAAAATAGTGCATAAGTATGCGATTTGGGACGCAGCTATTGTCTCAAATATTTCTGGCGGCCATCTTTGAAATGCCTCTCAGGCAGTTTGTTAGGGCATTCTGTTTGAATATGGAAACATCAAATTCTCCAAAATTGCTTGACAAGTATACGATTAAATTTCATATCAGGAATCACCAATACAATTAAACAACAACGATTTATTTAGTTTCATTTCTAAACCTTTAAATCACAGAATATCTGCAGAAAATCTTGTCTGGTCAGAGCCCCTCTCCTCATGTCAGTCCATAGTGACTGATGATTGGCTCCTGTACTAAAAGGCGGGGCTTCATTCACCATATTGACTGTTCAATTTTTCATTATTTAAAACTATACGAGTGACACGTCTTGTGTATTCTATAGTCTTCATTAGTCCCCATGAATGATTTTCAACAAGTGTTTTCTTCGGTGCCAAAAAAGCTACAGTTGAACCACCAACCTCACTAATCTCTCTCTTTGCTCCTCCTTCCAGAAACCCAATGGCGAATGGGGTAGGACCGTTTTTGAGTACCGCACGCAAACACTTTCACGGCTGCCGATTGTGGACTTGGCTGCAGTTGACGTGGGTGGCCGAGATCAGGAGTTTGGTATTGATATCGGCCATGTGTGCTTCTCATGAAACCAAGGATGAAAGCATTGTTTGGACTTGAGCGCTCGGCCAACACAATATTTATTGTCGAAACAGCATCTGCGAGGGCCTTTCTGACCTTTATTTCATGATTATTCATGATTTCCACTAGCCTTGTGGTCTATGAGTCCATGAGAGACTGTATGGGCCCTTTAACTTGCACTTCGTACAGCAAGTGTTATTAAAATGTGCAAAAACATTGATTGAAATTATTCCAAGTCATGTTTTACAACTCCAACTGTGCCTTGTCAGTCTAATCTGTATTTTATTTGAAGATGATCACCATTTTGCAGTTATTTTGAATGGATTTTGAAGGTCAAGTGAATGTGGATGAGAGAAATTGTTGTTGTTTTTGTGTTGTATTTAAGTAAGATCTTTAAGTTTACTTCTTAACTTTTTTTAAAATGTTAATAGCAAAGGGTTGGACAGATGATTCACTTATGCTTAATAATTAATGAGTACTCACACAAAAACCAATGCTGGTCTCATTAAAGGCTCATTAGCCAACAATACACGACAAGCAAACTCTTTACCCAGCTTTTTACAGCAAAAGTCCCATTTGTACAATTAAGTGGAGAGGGAAACAATTGCTCATATAGATTAAACATTTGAATTTCTTTTCAACAGATCTCCATTGATTTTTGCCATGAATAAATGTCTGAAAACAAGCTTTTGAGTGCTGTTTGATGCTGCCAAGAAAAGCGCACAGAGCTTTAACACTGCTGTCAGTTTTCATTTATTCATCAGAGAAAATAATAAACATTTAGCAGATATTAAAACACGCATTAATGAAAGTGAAAAGGATGTGATCTTCAGGAAATATAAATGAAAAGCCCCAGGAATTCCTACTGAACATACAGAATTAAAAACACACTCAACAGTGATTTTAAAGGCTAAATGAAAACTATAACCATGAATTCGATTAGTATAGTAACAGATTAGATGTATCTTTTAGTTTATGATTGCACCATTACAACATGAGCAATCACTTAATAATCTAAGCATACACTACCTGACAAAAGTCTTGTCGCCTATTCAAGTTTTAGGAACAACAAATAACAACTTGACTTCTATTTCATCAGTTGGTATCAGAAGTGGCTTATATGAAAGGCAAAGGCCTTTAGATTACGCTCATTTCACCAAAATAAAATATGATTATGCCTTGATTTTTAATTATTTCATAAGGACAGTAAGGTCTGACTTTGCTTAGACAAAAGTCTTGTCACTTCCTCAAGGTTATTTGGATTCATCTTCAATGCCTCCTCCTTCATCCTCACCCAGACGTGTTAAATAATGTTCAAGTTTGGTGACTGGGCCAGCTAATCCTGGAGCACCTTGACCTTCTTTGCTTTCAGGAACTTTGATGTGAAGGCTGAAGTATTAGAAGGAGCGCTGTCCTGCTCAAGAATTTGTCCTCTCCTGTGGTTTGTAATGTAATGGGCAGCACAAATGTCTTGATACCTCAGGCTGTTGATGATGTCACCCCCTACTGTTGATGACGCCCCCATACTGATTGTAACCCAAAAACATAATCTTTCTTTTTTCCCTGATTTCTGTAAGGTAAGAAGTCCATGCGGGTTCCAGGGCCGGAGTGGGACTCCTTTTCAGCCCTGGAGTTTCAAGCCTCAGACCGGCCCACCTCAGTTCACGACTGACTATATTGAAATAAGGTGATTTCCAATTCAGTTTCTAATGACACTATCACGTCTTTTTTGAGAAAACAGCTGCTTTAAAACTTCAAATGTTCAACAACCCTAACAGTATTATATGTCTTACCAATAAAAATAAAAATAAAAAATTACTCAGCCGAGGATCAAACCTGGATCGCTGGAGTCGAAACCTAACGTGCTAACCACTCGACCACAACAGTAATAAAATCATCCATTTGCAGGCTGCATCTTCATCACGAGGCTGCGAGAAAATAGATAAAAAGAGCAAAGCTGCGGTACAATATTGAATAAGAAGACTGTGGTCAAGTAAATAAATACATTAATTTAAAAAGTGTGACTGCTGAGAGCAACAGATTCTGGAGCTAGGGACACCGGCCCTCGCGGCCAAAAAACGGACCGGCCCACCGGGAATTCTCCCGGTCCTCCCGATTAGCCAATCCGGGCCTGGCGGGTTCCAGTAGGTCTTCTGTAGTATCTGTGATGATTGGGATGCAGTTCTGCAGAAAAATCTGCCTTCTGCCAATTTTCCAAATGATCAACTTGGTCAAGTTATTACAACTGGAATCGACGACATGACTTTTGTCAGGTAGTGTAATGTTTTGACTGTGAATGAATTTGGTCCAACTTTTGTTAAATCCCTGGAAAAAGTTTAGTCAGACCACATTTAGAATATTTCCCTCTTTTTTTCTCTCTTTTTCTCTCTCTTTTTTTTTTTTTTTTACAATTTCTGAAGTCAAAATACACAAATCATCAAATGCACATGTACAATCTCAAATGTTGATTTTATTATATAAAAATAGAAATGACCTCTATAAACCTTTATTAAGGCTCCTGCCACATTTCTTTAAAACTCAGTTCAAAATTAAATATTTCATGTGATTTATTTTGAGGGTTTCGTGGTCAAGAATCACAGCGTATACAAAAACATTTGTCTTTCAAAATCAGCATCGGCTGTCCACAGGCTCCAGGGAAAACACGGTCCCCTCTAGAGTCAGTCCCATTTGGAACCCCTCCTGCCGAAACAACACGAGAAAAAAAGCCTAAGTTGTGAGCTCAAAATATGCCACGATCTTAAGGATGGTTTAAACCTCTTTTGCTGTTAATTTACTCCCCTCAAGCAATTCAAGATGTAGCTTCTTCTTCAATGAAACATTAAGATTTTTAAATGAAAATGTGGTGACAACATGCAAGTCAACGGTAATCATAAAGCATACCATGCAAAATAAAACCCTTATGTCACTGAGCTTTTAGGAAACTAATTATCAGCTTGTGTAAGAAACTACACTATTTTTAACATTATTACCTTTAATTTACAGCCTCAGGCTTTTCTCTTCTGCAAACTCATTCTTACTGACAGTTCAAATGTCTGACAGTTCTGGTTTAATTAATTAATTAAATTAGATTTAATGTATACACAATAATAATTGGGCGGTGTGGTAGCGCAGTGGGTAGCACGTTCGCCTTACAGCAAGAAGGTCGCTGGTTCAAGACTAGGCTGAGTCAGGTGGCATTTTTGTGTGGTTTGTATTTTCCCCCCGTGTTCGCTTGGTTTTCTTCGGGTGCTCCAGTTTTCCTCAGTCCAAAGACATGCAGTACAGGTGAATTGGGTATGCCTTAAATTGACCGTAGTGTACGAGTGTGTGTGTGAATGGGTGTGTATGGATTTGGGTTGCAGCTGGAAGGGCATCCTCTGCGTAAAAACATATGCTGCATAAGTTGGCGGTTCATTCCGCTGTGGCGACCCCAGATTAACAAAGGGACTAAGCTGAAAAGAAAATAAATGAATAAGGGAGAACAGGCAATCTCCACACAGAAACGCCAACTGACCCAGCCAAGCTCGAACCAGCGACCTTCTTGCTGTGAGGCGACAGCACTACCTACTGCGCCACTGCCTCGCCCTGGTCATTTATAGTAAGTTAAAAATCTGATTGGTGAATCATGTGTTATGCCTAGTTCAGACTGCGTGATTTTAGCCCAGATTTTGGCTCGAGAAATCGCAGACAAATGCCTGAAATCACAGGCAAATCGCTGCTCGTGCACGTGAGTGACAATTACACAGTATGAACTATCAAAGACGCGATCTGAGAGAATCGCCGATGAGTCGCCAATGCCTGCGAGATATTTGGCATGCTGAATATCTGGATCTGTCGGTGATTCAAATCATGCCGTGTGAATTGAGTTTTGACTGAAAATAACATCATCGATCGCCTACAGCCAATGAGAGAGCGGCATTCACTTGTGTGTGCGTGTGACCGTGTGTGTATACCTGCTGCAGTCCAGCAGGAGGCTGGGGGAGAAGTTTAAAGCGCTCTTTTTTGGTTTATTTGGACCTGGAGGAAAAACTAATGGAGGTTTGACAGGACTTAATAGCAACCGTGTCTGTTTAAGTTTCATACAGAAAGAAATTAGTTTATTAACAACGTTGAGGAGAAATGGCTAATTCCCTTTAAACCCACGTGAGCAAATATGTAAATTTTCTACCCCATTAAAGGCTTCTTTCTCATTATGTAGTTAATAACAAAAGATATACTACGTGTTTTTGGCTGTGAGACGTAGTTTGGACGAAGTTGTCGGCGATTCTTCCAATAGTAAAGTCATGCGATGTAAAATCCCCTGTTGCAGATCCATCTTGCAGTGTAAACAAAGCAGCGACGAAACGCTAGCCCAGATAGTCATGCAGTGTGAAAACATCTGTAACATGACTACTTTGAAAATCATGCAGGCTGATCTCAGCATTAGCTAATGTGGGACAGGCTGTGGGCAATCATAATCACGTGCTCCACTCGAAATTAATTTATAAATAAACTTCACAAAGAGAATCAACTTATTCTTTTACATAAACAATGAAAAAAACTTGAACAGTTTAATGTTGTCCCTTCACTCAATTCTTGGTTCACTTCATTTTCAGATGTGCTTTCTTAGACACTCATAGTGATGATTGCAACTGACTTTATGAATTACCCAGGAACACAACTTCATCACAAAAACCTCTTTAATCAATATGAGTAAATTAACAAGATTTAAACATCCAACATCTAAAATAGGCAGGTTACGTCACCACAGACCTTACTTAATGAACAGAAAAATCACATTTTTAAAGCTCATAGGACAATCTTGATAAACACTGTAGCAAATTAGTGTTTGAGGTGACGGCTGCAGCACTCTCTCATCCAAAAACACAAGTTTTTAGTGTGTTTTCAGTTTTTCTGTATGCTACAATTTGCAAAAGAATTGACTTGGGGATGAAATGAAACTGTGCTTGCAGCTGCACGCTACTCTATTTCAGTGTGTAAACAACAGGACAACAAGCATGCAACAACCAGAACCACATGGAATCTGCAACTGCACAATTAAACGCCTGTCAGGGACAGAAATTCTTGGAGCTCATTTTAAGGCTCAGGTTTAATACGCACTCTTAAAATAATGGTTACAAACAGTACCAGATTAGAGTTCTTCAGCTTGTTATGACAGCAGAACTTTTCAGTACTGTGTTTTTAGACTTGTTTGCATATCATTTTTAAGATTCAAAACATTTTAAATAAAAGCTGTCATGGTTTGTTAACAATAGTTGTGTCCCAAAAGACACAATATGCACTTCCACACTCAATTGTTTGAAACACTAATGTTTTCTTTTTTTTTTACAAACCGAAAATTCAAGCGGTTTCCAAGACAATGTTTAACAGTTGCTAAATTAGTTCTAGATATCACCAAACTGCTTGTCTTGACAGCAAGCAGATTTCCAAACACAAAAACATAATCATCAGTTTCTGTTGGAGAATTTTAATATCCCAAAAAAGTAATCAAATATCAGCTCCAAGCTGTGACCGTTGAGTGTGTGGTGTCCCTTTTTTATTTCTTTTTATCAGCTTAATAAGAACATCATCTGAGTTTTGAAAGAGCACTTCAAGAAACAAAATGTGATTTGTGAAATGCTGAGTCCAGTCTACTTCAAAATGAGCTCTGGTGTGGTTTGAATGACACTGTATGAATGCAACTCT